GATGTTGATAACTGACTTGGAAGGACAGAACGAGTTAACATCCACACCGAATTGCCAATGTACCCATTTGGAGCTGCGGAGCTGTTCTGCGGTTCTTATAGGATAACTTTGTAGCATAGGATCCCATACCGGTTCCTAATTTCCTTACATGGTGGGATCTTGTAGGTTTTTCAAGCTCCGTTCCAGGGAACCCCAGAATCCCTTGGATGCTTCGCGGGGGGCTTCTCCCTGAGATGATCGGTAATAGTGGAAAGCATTCCTGAAGGACAGCATGCTTACCCCTACTGATTTTCCCCCTTGCCATGAGCAGTTGCAGAGTGTAAGATGGGCAGCACTAAGGCCCCGTCTGTGTGCCTAGCTAGCAGCCGTGTGTTCACTTGAGTGTGCAACACATACAGTGCCCAAGAATCCTTTGCAAACATGCAGAGCTTCATCAGCGGACAAGCTGATTTCTCTCAAGGCAGGAAGCTTGAAATCTGCTGCCATAAGAGGTTGCACATACAGAATAGCTGTTCTGAATAGAAAAAAGTTGTTGAATGGAATAATTGTCTTAATTTGGCCTGTTTGGGGCTTTTTTGCTTTTATTTTTTTAATGGCCTTATTTTCACTTTTTTAAAATGTCTTAACACCCGGCCAAATGATTTAGTTACTACCTCACGCAAATGATTTAAATGGTTTTTATTACACATCACAGGAATTTTAGTTTTGAGGAAACCTATTTTAGATTTTTTCCCCCCAGTGCAGTATGTAAATGCCAAGTTTGAGAAAAATGCACATACTGGCGCTTTTTTTTTTTTAATAAGTTGTTTATACTGTGATATAGACTAAGAACAAAACTACATTAAGAAGTGATTTATGGTCTGTATTGATGATGTTAATGCTTTTGAATATTTCATAATGTATATAATGTAAAATAAACTTTTTTTAACATGTTTGTTGTACAAGTGGATTATCATCTGCACTAATTTTCTGATTGGGGAAAAGTTTTCTTAACTGAGATCAGTTTTGATTCCAATAAAAATGTAGAAAGAATAAAAATTAAGATGACTTTAGTTACTTTGACTTTTATATTACACTATATATAAAATAAATGTTAAGAACGCATTAATAAACACATTTGGGGAAGATTTAAGTTATAATTAACCAATAGCTTCTTAGTAAATCTTGAATTTACTTCCTTCTTTGAATACCTTCTTTTGATTCAAACAAAACTGGTTGTTTTTAATTTTACTTATTTATTTGATTTCAATATCACCCTTCATCTTGAAGATAACAGGATGGTTTAAAATATAAAAATACAAAAATAATAATTATTATTTCTGAGAACCTCCATTATCCCCTGTGGGTTGAATACGGAATGTCCCTTTTGTGAACAGAAGTTCTCCTTTTTGTAGAAGAGGCCCAAATTCGGTGGAGGTTCCCACAGGGGAGGGTCCAGCAACCTTCTGAAGCAGCTTTCCAAAGGGTTTCCAGGGGAGGAGGAATTGGTGAAAACTGCGCACACAAACACATTTCCTCCAGGCTATGTGGGTATAGAGGTTTTTGAACAAAACTATTAAAGAACCCCTTGAGAAATTAATACCAGTTCATGATAACCAATCTTGCAATAATAATCAATTTGAGCAAATGTCCATTATTAACTAGTACAGGGGGTGCGTTAACAATACTTGGATATTTCTGTGGCACCTACGCAATGCACAAATGTAATTTCCCCCTGTACTTATCACATTTTTTTAGCGTCTCATCCCCAAAATTTTAAACCAGGATCTTGGAGGTGGTTCCAGTCAGATTTTCAGTATGCTTTGATTGCCCTTTCCAAACTGAACATAAAAGCAGAGTTTGTATAAGATGCACAAGTAGTTTTGACTTATATCCAGAAGCGCACCTATTTCACGGCGCTAACGAAAGTTGCCTCACAATCAAAATGAAGCATAAACAGCCACTATGAAACCAAGCCACAGCAATTGCTGGTATTGCAGGTAACATATGCTAAACTCAAAGCTAAGGATTGGATATTCTTCTGTGCAGGGTCCACTGGCATAAACAAAACTTGCTCCCAAGACTTCAAAGGCCCCAAACTAGAAATGACAGTGCCACAAACTCTGCTGTATTTCTGTAAAGCAGAAAGGGAAAGCCAGTCCTGTTTCCAATGCCTTTCTCCTTGAAATTGCTTCTCCCTAGGAGAAACACACAGGGTTTCCAGTTACCCTGCTAGCCAGTATGTACACACTTCCCGAGTCTGAGCAGATCCCAGATGAAGATAGTGGAAAGACGTGACTGGCTTGCACCCCAGCCTACAAACTAGATCTTTGGCGATCACTCGTAGCTGAGTAAGATTGTCTTCCATAAACACGGTTTTAACAATGAGTCCATAAGTGACTGTGGAGACCAATTCTGGATCCACACATACTTCCACAGTGGGGACATTGATTTCCGAGCGGGAATTGATCACAGTGTGGATTTGCCAAGTGTTCCTTCCTCTTAGCACGTTTCTCCCTTGCGTCCTGAGTTCAAGTGTCTTCAAAGCCCATGACACCTTTGGTAAAGGCTGTTCTCCAACTGGAGCGCTCGCAGGCCAGTGTTTCCCAGTTGTCAGGGTTTATACTACATTTTTTTTAGATTTCCCTTGAGACAGTCTTTAAACCTCTTTTGTTGACCACCAGCATTATGCTTTCCATTTTTAAGTTCGGAATAGAGTAGTTGCTTTGGAAGACGATCATCAGGCATTCACACAACATGACCAGTCCAGCGAAGTTTATGTTGAAGAATCATTGCTTCAACACTGGTGATCTTTGCTTCTTCCAGTACACTGATATTAGTTCGCCTGTCTTCCCAAGTGATGTGTAAATTTTTGAGAGACACCGTTGATGGAATCTTTTGAGGAGTTGGAGATGGCGTTTATAAGTGCTCCATGTTTCACAAGCATATAGTAAGGTTGACAGTACAATAGCTTTGTAAACAAGTATTTTGGTTTCCCTGCGAATGTCCTGGTCCTCAAACACTCTGCACTTCAATCGGGAGAAAGCCGCACTCGCAGAGCTCAGGTGATGTTGGATTTCGGCATCAATGTTGGCCCTTGTGCTAAGATAACTGCCTAGGTAGGAGAAGTGATCGACATTTTCCAACGTTACACCATTGAGTTGGATTTGTGGCGCTGCAGAGGGGTTATTTTATACTTGTTGGTGCAGCACTTGGGTTTTTGGGATGTTGAGTGGTAAGAGGGTCCCTGCAATGCATTGGGGTGACACCAAATGGGAGCCCCTCAGGGTCACCATGAGGGCAAGGGTACTCTCCCACCTTCGCACCTCCTGCAGGCACAGCATTGGACACAGTGTCAGGAGGGTTAGATTGGCTCTGACACGGTGCCCCTTCCCACTGCCCTGGCCCCAGGGCGTTTGGAAGGCAAGAGGGTATCACAGCCTCACTGACTGCTACTGTGTGTGCTGCCGCACAGAGTGACAGTAATATTTGTGTTCATTGTAAAAGTTGCCAAATACTTCTCTGAGTAGGTGGATAAGCTAAAACCAGCTATAAGTGCGGCAGAACCTATCCAAAACAGATACTGTACTGCTAAACATTCCTGCAGCATAGTGACAGCACGAGGCCTCAAACTTTGACAGCTGCACCCTGACATCAACGGAGGTGGAGGAAATAGTTTTCAGAGCACAAAACATAATCGGACAGACACATACGCAGCGTTTCCCCACAGGCTTCCTTCCCCTCTTGGTGCTTATGACAAGAACATACAGTCGGACAAGGGCACCACCATGAGGCTGCTCTTGACAAGGCCGCAGAGATTGTGATAGGAGATGTGAAATACATCTGCAAAACACAGTGAAATCTCCAAGCTGAAACCTAAATGTAATTTGTGCCATTTTGCTAGATGCCTTCCTCAACTGATCAAAGAGGAGACAAAGCAAATTAGGTGAAAGGCAAAAAGGTGGATAAAAGTTCTTGACACAAGTGAAAAATGTGTGCCAACTGCCTGTCCCCTTTCTTTGCCCTCAGCAAACACTATACAGCAGTGTGGCACTACAGGTACAGCACTGTATTAAAATACTATTGATATTTAGAAAGTAACGGTTTCTATTAATACATTATTAATTAGTATTAATTAATTAGTATTAATAATTATTAATTAGTATTACTATTAGTATTAGGAGTTTGTGACAACACCCCAAGCCACTTTCTACTGAGATGTAATGTAGTTTCAGTATTTGATGGATTATGATGATTATGCTGTCTATTGAAGCATGTTTTTGTTGCTGAAGTTTTTGCTTGTTTCATTGGGTTCATTTTATGTTACTATATGGATTGTTCATTTTTGGTACTGGTATACCCTAGAGTTCAGGGGTTCTCATTTGTGGAACGCTCTCCAAGGGAGGCTTGCCTTGTGCCTTCATTGCATATCTTTAGGCAATGGGCAAGCCTTTGGCTTATTAAATATATGGCCTTTTAAACTGGGTGTGTGGGCTACTGTTTTGTTTGTTCTTGTTATGATTTTTTGTTACACACACACACACACACACACACACACTATAAACAGCCATATGATCCTAAGATGAGGGGTGGAATATAAATTTCGTGTAATAATTTCGTAATGTATTTCCTCGCCCAATGTTACATTTTTAATTTTTTCCAAGTTGCTGGAAGGCCACGTGTCAAGCGACTAATAAACAACAACACCCCAAACAACAATGTAACAACCTCTCAGCGACATAGGGGAGAGAAGAAGAAACAGCCCCCAGCTTTCTCCATCTCCCACAGACTCTGCAAAGTTCGCTCTTTCAGTAGCGAGTCCAGTTCTGGCTCGGCTCTACGGTGTTTTTTTCTAAGTAACTTTTCACCCTGATTTTATAAACAAGGATCATAGGAATAATAAAGTGTATAAATAAAAAGACCAAGTCTTCTAATGTCATTTGTACATCTCAAAAATAGCATAATAAATTTGCAATAATATATACAACATATGATTCGTTATTAGTGGTCAGTGTACAAACCTTTGGTTTAAATAAGTGGAGTGGGTTAAATAAAAACAGCTAGTGGAAGCAGGATAGAACTGTTCACCGGTCCTCCTCTCCGCAGGGGGCGCTGTGGAAATGATCCGTCTTTCTCTCTCTCTCTTTCTCTCCCCCACAATTGAAAACACCCTCCTCCCCAAGCGGATTGAGAAAGACTTGTTGCGCTGCGTCGCGCGAGGCGTTCCGACTTTCACTTCCGCCCTGAAGAGGAAGGGGCGGGGGGAGTGGGGAAAGGCAGAGCCGAGCCGGATCGACTTCCAGAGAAAAAGGTTGCGGGAAGCGAAGAAAAGGGGAGGAGAGCTTGGAGGCGACCCGATCTGCGCACGCCCCGTCGGCCTTTGCGCCGACTGCGCACGCGCCGGCGGTTGTAACCGTCAGGGCAAGGGAAGAACAGCCCCCACCCCCACCCCGCTCGCGCCGCCCGAGAATTCAAAGCCGCGCTCGGGACCCTGCCCCTCCCTCCCCTCAGCAACCGTCACTTTCCTGCCGTTGCCGGGCAGGGCTTCCCCTCGGTCGCCCTTTCGGCCGCCCTCTGCCCCGCTCGCCGCGTCCTGTCAGGGCGAGGGAAAGGATGCCCGGCGGTGCCTTGTCCCAGGCCATCCCCGGCGCTGAGTGAGGGAAGGCCGGGCCGGGCGGCGAGCGAGCGGGCAAGGGATGTCGCCGCCGCCCCCCGGCGCTGGGTCCTTCCGTCGCCGCCGCCGCTGCAACAGCAGCCACCACCCCTGGCGGCTCCCGCTGCTGCTGCTGCCTCTGCCCTCCTCCGGTTCCGGGTGTCGCCCGCCGCCGCTCCGGGCCCCGGAGCAACGCCGAGCGGCTCGGCCCCAGCAGTGACTGCCGCCGCTTCCCCTCACAGGGCGCGGGACGGCGCGGGCAGGATGCAGGCGCCGGCCGCTGCAGTACGAGTTCTTCAGCGAGGAGAACGCGCCCAAGTGGCGGGGGCTGCTCGTGCCAGCCCTGAAGAAGGTGAGGAAGGGGCGCTGGGGGGGGGGGAGATCCAGAAGGGGTGGAAAGGCTGCGCGTTTTATAGGAGGTAAATTCGCCAATGCCCAAGGTTTGCTGCATGTTGACATCCACGTGTCATTGGTGACAGCCCCAGGTGAGGACAGATACGTGTGTATGTGTGTGGGTCCCGAATTTGGACCTAAGGCAAGGGAATGCCGACAGGCATGTGTGATAACTGGCAGTGCCCCAGTACTCCGACTTTCACATAATCGGTTTGGGGATAGTCAATGTTTTCATGCGCCTGTGTTGACATCCTGCGAACCTGTCTGCTGTGCTCATGGGTGTCTGTATACTCATTATTCTTCATTAGATTTATATACCGCCCTTCATCATAAGATCTCAGGGCAGTTCCCAGAATAAAATATAAGGTAATGTATGAAGCTCGCAGGGTGACCTTGGGCCTGTCGCTGTCTCTCAGCCTAACCTACCTCACAGGGTTCTTGTGAAGATAAATTGGAGAGGGAGGAGAGCCATATATGCCACTGTGTGTTGGAAGGAAGGTGAGATATATAATTAATAAACGCCTGCCGGTAGAACACTTGGGGTAGATAGCTGGTTTTCCACTTCCCAACATGGTCCGATAGGATAGCTACTAAATGATCTGAACTTTAAGTACCAGATACATGTGCACAAAACTTTAAGCAACAAAAAAAATATAGCAGTGATATTCTTTAGGAGAGCTGTAGGTGTGATTATCACTTTGCTCCCAAATGGAAGATGGGCAGCATTTTAAATAGTTCAGATGATACTGAATATTAGACAAATATATTAATGTGGCATGACAGGTTTTTGAGTTGTTCTTTAATTTAGACTGGAATGTTATGAGTCCTTCAGATATACCTGCCTCACTGAAGAAAATTATGTCATTTGCTGTTGTATTATATTCCAGTATAGTTGCTACCAATATGTGTTTCTTGACAATTAGAGTTAAGTGATGAAAGTCCTGCTCCATCAGAATCTGTATTGAGCTTGATTAGTTTTCAAACATTATTGACTGATGGCTAGTGCATAGAATTTAATAGGATAAAGGTGGTATTTGTTTTTGCTAGATCTGTGTTGCAATTTGTTGTTTAATTTGTTCCCTGGGTGCTCATGCAGATAACCACTTTTTAAAACACAAGCTAGGTTTACTTTTTTACCTGAACATGATTCATTTTATCTTGTGAGGTTGGTAACATTTTAACCCATACATAATATCTAGGTGCACTGAACAATTATTACTCACAACTTTGAGAAGCCTGCTTTCTTTATCCTAGGGCAATATTCTAATGATTGGTCTACCAGCCCTAAAATACATGGGCTGTGCTTTATACACATCATGCACCAGTATTTTGAAGCCGGAATAATGCATAAGTGTGTTTGTGTAACTTGAAAACTTGCTTTCCTGATTTTCTCAAAAAGATTCATTAGCCTCATTTATTTTTAAAGCAGGGGCATATTGAAGTTATTCTGAAGCTGTTGTCAAACAAATATTGTTGTTGTTTAGTCGTGTCCGACTCTTCATGACCCCATGGACCAGAGCAAGCCAGGCACTCCTGTCCTCCACTGCCTCCCGCAGTTTGGTCAAACTCATGCTGGTAGCTTCGAGAATACTGTCCAACCATCTCGTCCTCTCTTGTCCCCTTCTCCTTGTGCCCTCAATCTTTCCCAACATCAGGGTCTTCTCATGACTCTCTTCTCACACTTCTCTTCTCATGAGGTGGCCAAAGTATTGGAGCCTCAGTTTCAGGATCTGTCCTTCCAGTGAGCACTCAGGGCTGATTTCAAAAATGAGGATGTTAGGAATTTGGTGGGGAAAAGAAGACTGAGGAAACTTGATTCAGAGTGTATTTCAAAAAAGTAAGTTGTTGAGCTTACTTAGACAAACCCCAATGTTGTTGAGATTTTTTTTTTTTTACCAAAACGCCCAAAAAAAATAAATTTCTCAGTTTACATGCCAAAGATCTAGGACAAAACGGTGCCTTCCGGAAACTCCCCCCAGACGTCACTTCCACCTTTGAAATCCCAGTATGTCCTCCTGGACATATGGCAGCCCTAGATGAAGTGACTAGAGATTCTTGCAGTGCAATTCTTTACATGCCTTTACTTATTTGCTGGTAATTTGGTGCATGGGACAGTATTAATTAGCTGCAGCTGATGCTGCATTGAAGCAGGCAAGCTGGACTCTGTGTATACTGAAGATGTGATTCAGGATGGGGAGAGAGCCAGGCATGCTGCAGGCAGAGGAGTTTCCAGTGATGGGCCAATGCTAGTAGGAGTCACCTCAGAGAATTATGGTACCCCTTTGGTGTCTCCCCTTTGAAAAACCATTGAGGGCTAAGGACCTCACCCACATGAAAGTGACAGATAGATGATGGAAGGACCCTGAGGGAGAAGCAAGTGAGATTATGGGTCAGTAAATGAAAACTCCCAAGTGAGAGGTGGTAGCAGCGTTCAAAATTTACCGGGCACATTTTGCACCTGGCTATCGGCCAGTTGTGACCAAGTGAAGATACCCTGGCGCCACCAGGATTGTGCCTGATGTTTCCACTATCTGGAGGTGCATGCCTGTGGATCCTTAGATCTTGACTGTTTTCACACACTAGCAACATATCTAGTAGAATTCTATCTGTTATATTTTATCTGCGCTATCAGAATGAATTTAAGGAACCAAAACGTTGCATTGAAAAATACAACTTTCAAGCTGTCTGGCCTCTAAAAGACAACTAGACCAGTGTTTCCCAACCGGTGTTCCGCGGCACACGAGTGTGCCGTGAGACATCGGCTGGTGTGCCGCGAGATGCCTGGAGGGAGGCGGGCGAGTCGGGCGGCGAGAGGCGGGGCGGCGGCGGCGAGGAGCCGCTCGGCGCGCAAAGCGAGGGAGGCTGGAGCCAAGAGCAGCGGCGAGCAGGAGGCGCTTGGTGGGAGATTCAGCCGAGCCCGAGCTGCGTGCGCTCCCGAACCTCTGGGCGGAGAAGAGCGTGCGTGTGTCCGGCTTAGCGACGGATCCTCTCACCCGGCGCAGCAGAAGACAACCCTCGGGGCGGAGCTCCTGCCACAGGCCTCCCGCCTTCTTCCCCACGCGGGGCAGAATAAGTGGAAACCGGCGGACGCAGCGGGTTTCTCAGCCGCTGCCCGGGTTGCCCCTCTCTCCTACAGAGCCGCATCCATCCCAGCCCCTCCTGTCATCTCAACCTGCCCGTCTAATTTACATACCATCATATCCTCCTTTCTTATTGATTCACTTAGATTTAGTCTTACATTTCTCGCTTTGTCTCCGTAGACTGCGCGGAGGGAGAGCCAGAGAGAGGCATCGCTCCTGCGCGGCGGGAGAGGGAGCAGCCGGAGCGATGCCCCAAACGAGCTGAATTCCGAGCGAGGGACTGAGGGGGGAGGGGAAAAACTTTCACTTTCGTGCGTCCCTCCCGGCGTGACGCTGCGCGCTGACGTCACGGGGCGGGGCTTTAATGGTGGTGTGCCGCGAGATTTTTTTTCAGTAAACAGGTGTGCCGTTGCCCAAAAAAGTTTGGGAAACACTGAACTAGACATTCTGTTTTGGCAAATAAGATTTCTATCTCCCTTTGATTTTTTTGAATCCACCTATATTAAAGTATAAAGCCAGATGTAACTTTTCAAATTTTCTAATCATGTTCTCTTCTAACTTCCCTTGCTGAACGTTAATTCCTCCTTGTCTTTTCAGAACAGCACAATGGTTAATTCTACCCATAATTAACTTTAACTACTACTTGCAAACTCTCTTTTAACCTTGGTTTTATTTAAACTCTGTTAGCTTTAAACTAAAGTTAGTGTTAACATCAGTTTAGAGATAACTGGGTAATTAGGTGTTGAAGAGATTTCACTAGCCTGTTCCATACTCCCAATCCCCTAGCCATGGAGTGGCTTTAGTGAGAACTTTCTAGAACTACTTTAAGGTAAAAAGTTTATTTTTAAAATGTTCACACATATTGACCATACTTGCTTTAAATTTTCTATTACTGCAGTCACAGTTAAAAATTAATGTGGTTACAGTTTTGATAACAATAAATACTCGTATGTTTTAAGGCCTTAATAGACGTTTGATTACAACATTATATTTTGTTTGAGACAAAAAGATTACAGATTTATGCTGTGTTGTGTTTTGTGTGCCTGAAAGATTAATTTTTTAATTGTATTTATCACACTTTCTTCATTAAAGTACAGACCTGGGTTAAGCACTTAAGAACCAGTGATTTCAGTGTGATTTAAACAGGGTTTGGGTTATATCAATGCATTTTTAGTGCTTAACCCTGGGTCAGTAACCCAGGGAGTATAAAATACAGTTTTCAAGTGCCCAGTGCATTTTACTTGTTAAGTTGTATTCTAGTCTAAAATGTCCACTAACTTCATTTTACTTGGGACATACATACTTCAGATTTCAGTGGACATCTAGCTTTGTTATGCAGTGGGACTGATTACTTATTAGTTGTCTGGGGAAAATAGTTTTACAATATCCTTATATGTGGTGGCATTTAGAACAAAGGTGACTTAAAGTTCAGACCAACATTTTTTGTTAGTCCTATTATTTGTGTACACAGTAATGTGTTTTATCCTGTAAAAAGAATGGACAGTATATCCAATATTAGTTATACTTAGAATATATTAATTGAAATAATTGGACTTAAGTTCTGAAATTCATTGACTTTGATGGGCCTACTCTGAGTATGGCATAATTGGATACCACCCAATATAAGTAAGGTTTAATTTCACTATTTTAGAGGTAGAATGACAGCTGTTAAATATATGCCCTCAAAATCCTTTAATAAAAGCTGAAATATGGAGTGCTAGACAGCATTGTTCTATCTACAAAATTTTAAAAAAGAAAACAGTGCCGTGTTTCATGTGGCTTAAGATGATAAAATACCCTTCTCCAACTTGGCACACTCTGAATGTTTTGGACTGCAACCCCCATCGTCTCCAGTGGACATCTGGAAGACACCAAGTTGAGGGATGCTATAAGACTTGCACGAGCACAGCTTAGACTTCATGTATCAATGTCACCTGTTGCATTTTATTAGTTTGACTGTATGCCTAGCAAATGTGTAATTCTAATTTTATCTGTAATACAGTGGTCTTGATGACTAACATGTAGTGTTGCATTTAACTTTGCTGTTGAAATTTTTTTATAGAGTAACCTTGGTTCTGGCTGGAAATTGTGAATTAAAAATGGCCCCCTCTACATTTAGAAATCTAAAATAAACTTGTTGGAGAGGCTAATACTTTCAGAAAGCAGCCTATGCTGATATCTGTATTCACATCTGTATCTATTTCATATATGTATTTAGGCTACTACCTGCTCCTCTGGCATGATTGCTTTTAACTGGCTACCATATTGCCATCACAAACATATCCACGCAGTTGTCTCCTTTTATTACCAGAATGGTGCCATTCTGGCTAGAAACAGCAACAACAGTGCGATCCTGCTCGTATTTACTCAAGCATAAAATCTCACAGAGATCAAACTTACTGCCTAGAAATATGTTTAGCATTACAGCCTAATTCAGTGGGACTGAATTATAGATTTTAAAAAGCAGAAAAATCAGGTCTTCATGTTTGGGCAAAGGGCTAAAATAAAGAAAAAACTCAGGAAGGGAGCAAGAAGTGAAACCTAAAACTGGTGTGAGCCTGTTTTAACTGTAAGTGGATTCCTATTGGAATAATCTTAGTGTAGATCTCTTAGTAGTGCACTACTTTGATTTCTTATTTGGCAGGCACTAAATTTGCTTGCCTTGCCAGGTATATAGGGCTAAATCTGTAAACATATACTAAAATAAGATCTTAATGGGGGTGAGAGGAGATTTTAGCTTGCAGTGAAGTTTTCAGAGACAGGTCCTTGAAACATATATTCACAAAAAACATACAAATTCCTTACCAACAGTTGGATACCATTTTTGTATTAACTTTTGTTCTGCTGAAATTAATACTTCTTTGCCATGGGGTGCATTCATGCATGCCTTTTTCTTTGTGCTATTTATGTTTGTAAAACAGCATCAAGTCAATTTCAACTCCATGTGATAATTACAGCAGTATTACAAATGGATGTTTTCTTTAACAATGAGTAAATTATTGGATGTAATACATAAACGTACGTGCTCCTAGGAAGGTTTATTGGGCCAGGTGTCACCAGATATGTATGCACATGTATTATTACTTCCATACTTTATACATTTGCTGTAGGCAGCACTTTTGTAAGACCAGTGTTTTCTGCAGTGGTTGTAATGTGTAGCACTGCTTTTAGATAACAGGATTTCTATTACCTGGAAAAGAAATATTGTGCTTCAGTTTAGGAAATATTTGCTTCTTAAGCTAAAGTTAATTTCACCATTTCTAGAGGTCATAATAGCACCTGTGACAAAGTGCATCATGGACCTTGTCCTCCTGGTTCTCTTGTTTGGGGAACTTTACATGTTGGATAATAAAGGATAACCAATTATCAGTGCAAAACAGTCTACTTCAATGCAATGAGATTGTATTAAAGACCAAGTACTGTACTGTAGTTTCTTCAAGCCTAAAACCATAAGGAACAAACAGTATCTTTTAATATGTAGCAGTGACAATGTATCTTATTTTTCCTTAATTCTAGACATTTGGGGGGGGAGTTTGTATTGAAAACACAAAGCACACAATGTGCTTATATCTTCCACACGGCAATCAGTACAGGGATTCCCCCTCCTCTTATGTGGGTTTCACCCTTAGGAAAAAGGTCTCCTTTAGTGTTTGGAATTAGAGGCTCTTTTCCTCAGGCTTCTAGCCATTCAGAGAGGCAACCTCTGTTTTGATTGCAGTGGAGAAGAAAGACACCTCTTCACCTTGTGCATTGTCTTCCTTGTAATAATGGATTTAAACTATGCCATTAGTAATTGAGAAAAGAGCAACATGTTGATGGAGTTTAGGGGTCTAGACATTTTGGCTGGGCTTGGTATCCAGTCATTCACTTGGATCCCAATTAAGTTAGTTGCACTTAGTTAAGTCGTGATGTGCCCTGCTGGTTTTAGTTAATTTAGTTTGGATCCAGCCCATTGTTTGTAGTACCTAGTGATTTTTCACTTCCTCACTCCTAAGAGCAAAAGTCAAAGCAGTGTTTTTATACCAACTGACCAGTCAGTTGGTTTTGCGGACCACTTATTGTAGGTGTTGTTTATAGCCAGCAGCCCCTCTCTTACAGGCCATGACACTGTTGGATCCTAACACAATATGCAGTGTTGCTTCACTCAACACTTGCTTAACTTACGGAATTAGCCAGCATTCAAAATTAAACCATCACCAGTCTTTTTTTGTGACTCAAGGGCGCCATCTAGTGACCATGTTCAGCCCAGCACATGGAGGGAGGAATGAGCCACATCGGCCCCAGCGGATGCCGCTTGTTCCTCCCACCAGGCGCTGGCGGCAAAGGGAGTCCCTCCACCACGAGCACCCAGCTAACCGAGGGAGTCATGTGCAGGCAAGTTCCAACCGTGATACACCGCCACGTGAAGGCGCTATTGCGCTCTGGCTCCTAATCTATTCCTGGGCAATGTATCAATACATTGCCCGGGCTTAGGTGTCATCTGCAAATTTGATGAGCATCCCCTCAATTCCTTCATCTAAGTCATTTATAAAGACATTGAACAACAACATGCCTTGGGCAGAACCCTGCGGCACCAACACTTGTCACTTTCCCCCCAGGATGACAAGGAACCATTAAGTACTCTTTGGGTTCAGTCAGTCAACCAGCTACAAATCCACCTAACAGTTACCTCATTCAAGCCACATTTTACCAGCTTCCTCACAAGAATATCATTCCACAGGGCGGGTGCCACTACCAAGAAGGCCTTCTGCCTGTTTCCCTGTAACTTAACTTCTCACAGTGAGGGAACCATCAGAAGGCCTTCGGAGCTGGACTTTCATGTCTGGGCTGAATGATGGGGATGGAGACGCTCCTTCAGGTATACAGGGCCAAATCTGTTTAGGGCGTTCCCCTCAGTTAAGAGAAAACAGGATTGGATGGTTACAAACAGCAAACAGAAGCATCTCATCTCTTCCCCTTTGCATGTCTAGAGGGGGGTAGGAATGCACAAGCTCAGATTGCACCTGCTCATTCAGTAAGATGGTTTGTCATTAGGTCTAAATCAGGCCATTCTGTGACTCCTCTTCTCTTCTGCATAAAGTGAATGCACACAAAGTAAAAGATCAGCTAACATGTAGAAAGAGCTTGGGCTTGTTTCAGTTTGCACAGACCTTCAGTTTTGACATCCATGAGACTCAAAATGAAACTTGATAATTGAAGCTAAGTATCTTTTAGACAATGGCCTTGTTAGCATGTAATGATAAGTCAGACTTCTGGCGTATATTGGTTTATTGTGTAAACAAACAGCATGCTGGTGTACAGTACTCCTCCCTGGTGCAAGTAGAGTAAACAAACCAAGAAGCTGGTGCTTCCTGTTATGTTTGAATCAGAGTTTGTGGTTTATTTTTTCCAAACAAGTACAGTGACTAGCCAACCTTGCTGATCATGGCTTCTCCAGATGATGATCCTTCATTCAAACATAGTTTGAAGCCAAGGCTTCCTGGTTTGTTTATCTGGTTTGCACCTGGAGAGGAGCCATCGGGCTCTATGCAGCAGCATAGTGACTTCCCAGTTTCACACCCCACACCCACACTCATTAACCACTTGAAAATTGCTGAGTGACAACGTGGACCACTTAATGTTTTGTAGCAATTGTACTGTGCCAGATGCTATATGATTTGCATAGAATTCAAATTGTAATGCAATAAAAGGAGAGACAGGAGAATTTTTGTTGCTTCTACTGGCACAGTTGGACCTCACCCAGTTTCATATTTTAAAAGGAAAGTATATAATTGTTTTTTTATGTTCAGAGTCTTGTAAGATGCTCTTGAGAACTTTTGTATGATATGCACATTTGTTTGTTTTATGTTGAATGTAGGTTCAGATGCAAGTCCACCCTAAGCTGTCATCTACTGAAGATGCCTTGCAGTATGTTGAGGAGTTAATACTGCAGTTGCTGAACATGTTATGCCAAGCTCAGCCAAGAAGCTTCCTGGATGTAGAGGTACAAGAAGAGTTTGTAGCTATTTATGCACTACTGTTATTTGCTGCCGCTGATATATTATTAATTCAGTCATTCATCATTGGATTATTAACACTTTGTTTTGTTTACAAGATTGTATTAAATTATTTGGTTCTTCTATATCTTTTATTATTACCTTATTCTGATACCTTGTCAGCTGTTTTGGGTACAAATATATTGTGGGAAAGCAGCATATAAATTAATTAATAATGAGGATTCTGATTTTGACCTTTTATTGGGGGGTGATAAGTTTGGAAAATTATTAGCAAATATATAGATTTGTTATTAATGTCTCTGTTCTTACACAAATTAATAATGTTTCCATAACCAAACTAGATATCTTTCAGTGACTTAAGATATTGTAAAAAAAAATGTTATGTGCTGATTATATATTTAGCTGTAATTCCTATTTTTTAAAAGGATCGTGTACAAAAAAGCTTTCCCCATCCTATTGATAAGTGGGCAATAGCTGATGCACAGTCTGCAATTGAAAAGAGGAAGCGAAGAAATCCATTATTTCTCCCAGTAGAAAAAATTCACCCATTGTTAAAAGTAAGTATTCTAAATTGAGTGTATAAAATGTTGCAAAATTAACAGAATTTACCCATTTGTTCTTCAAAGCTGAATTACTTCCTATAAAGACAGGTTTTTAAAAACCACTGTACCTAGATTTCACTCAAATCTATAAATCTTATTAAAGTAATCTCTGATCCTAGCTAGTAACAGATCTAACTAGAATTCAATAAATCTTAGCTGGTGTAATTTGACTGCCACAATCTTACACTTGTGGATCGAGGGCCCGACCCCCGCTATGTGAAATAAACACACAAGGACACGTGATATAAGGTTAATGGGCAAGAAAAGGCCACAACTTTATTGATTACAGCAGTGAAAAGGTATTGGCTTAGGCATTGGATGACTATAGGAGGTGGGTTTATTCAACAGTAGGTGGAGCCTGTTGATGCTAATCCAACTATAGGCTCACCCCTGATGTCACCGAGGGTCGTGCCATGGCCTCCCGCCAAGCAGGCATCGGACGGAATACACGACCGCCAGATTCCTATAACGGAATAACCCACGGTAGATAGCATAGGCGATGGCCACACCTAGCCCTTGACACACATGAATCCAATGCCTAACCGCCACCCGAGCCGCAAAGGGGCTCGCCGCCAATACCCTCACAGCTGCAACCAATCCCTAATGCTACTAATGATGCTATCCAACGACGACTGAGGAGGAGGCGGAGCTGGAGCTGCAGCATTAAGCTGCTAAACACGCCCCCCGGAGACACCTGGTTGGCTGCCTCCGGTGGGTGTGGGCACCAGCCAGATGAGGAGGGGCGGGGGCTAAGGCCCCCGGCCAGGGGCAGAGCTCGGGCTCCCACCCACAACCACTCCCCTCTCTTCCAGGGAGGAGAGTCTTTCCCTTGACTTGGAAGCAATACCTGCTTGATTAGGCCATGGGCATCCAGTCCAGCACTTTGTTCTTATAGTGACCAACCAGCTGTCTGTAGGAAGCCTGCAAGCAGTACCTGAGCCCAACAGCATTCTCACTACTTGCAGATCCCAGCAACTGGTATTCAGAGGCATAAGTGTTAATATTGGTCTCATATTTTAAAGCCATCCAGGTTGGTGGGGATCACTACTACTTGTTGGAGTGAATTCCATAGTTTATATAAACTTTCTTTTGTCTCCCCTGAATCTTCCGGCATTCAGCTTGATTGGGTATCCCCAACTTCTAGCATTTTGAGAAGCAAAACATAGAGAAAATTGTTTCTTTATCTCCACTCCACGGACAATTTTGTACGCCTCTATCCTGTCCCCTCTTACTCATCTTTTAACTGAAAGCCCCAAATCTTGTAATCTTTCCTCATACCAAATTTGCTCCACCTCCTTGATCATTTTTGTTGCCTTTTCTGAACCTTTTCCAGCTCTACAATATCATTTTTTACGTGAGGCAACCTTTTTGACACGAGGCAACACAGTATTCCAAGTTATACAAATATAGATTTGTATAACAGTATTATATGTTTTATGTTCATTAGCTTTCCTAATGATCCCCAGCATTATATTTTCACGTTTTACAACTGCAGAACACAGGGCTGGATACAAGTCTATAATAATTGCTGTGCCATTTGACTAATAAGAAATATATTTAAGTTACCGTATTTTTCGCCCCAAAGGGCGCACCGCCCCATAGGATGCACCTAGTTTTTTTGGGGGGGAAATAAAGGAAAAAAATTTATTTACCCCCCAGGGGTGGGGCTGGCGCGGGGGAGGCCCGAGCTTCCCCCAATCCCAGCCCCGAGAACAGCCTGCTATCCGCAAGCCTAGGGAGGCCAGCGGTAATTCGCACCGGTCTCCCCAGATTCGGAATGCAGGCAGCTCTGCGCAGCCATCGGGAGGCGGGCGCGACTTCGCACCCGGCTCCGGATGGCTGTGCAGAGCTGCGCTCACCCCGGGACAGCAGGCAGCTCTGCGCAGCCATCGGGAGGCGGGCGCGACTTTGCGCCCCGCTCCGGATGGCTGCGCAGAGCTGCGCTCGCCCCGGGACAGCAGGCAGCTCTGCGCAGCCATCGGGTGGCGGCCGCGACTTTGAATCCCTGCGGCGGGGTGTGCTCCCACTGCTCGGTACCAGCGCCTGCCAACCTAGCAGTTCGAAAGCACCCCCGGGTGCAAGTAGATAAATAGGGACCGCTTACCAGCGGGAAGGTAAACGGCGTTCCGTGTGCTGCGCTGGCTCGCCAGATGCAGCTTTGTCACGCTGGCCACGTGACCCGGAAGTGTCTCCGGACAGCGCTGGCCCCCGGCCTCTTGAGTGAGATGGGCGCACAACCCCAGAGTCTGTCAAGACTGGCCCGTACGGGCAGGGGTACCTTTACCTTTACCTTATAGGGCGAAAAATACGGTACTTTGTGTGGTGTTAACAATTATGATGCTCCTGTCACCAGTAACTCAACATTTCAGCAAAAGCATTATTGTTAGAACTACATTGTTGTTAGCTGTCTAAAAATGACCATGCTTATATGACACAGGAGCAAATTGGTGTAGATGTTTAAAAGCATGAATTTATTAGGTGCATTTGTGTAACCCAACATACTAGAATAAGTTATTTCTCTTCCAGGAAGTTCTGGGCTATAAAGTTGACCACCAAGTATCTGTTTACATAGTGGCAGTATTAGAATACATTTCTGCAGATATCTTAAAGTTGGTTGGGAACTATGTACGGAATATTAGACATGATGAAATTACAAAACAAGACATCAAGGTGGCAATGTGTGCTGATAAGGTAGGTAGAATTTATATTTGTAATTACTAAAGGTTTTAGATCCAGAAGAGTCCTTCCACAAACAACATGGGTCCATAAACAGAAGGGGCTTTGATCTTGCATGAGTGGAAGGGGGGAAATGATATACAGCTATAGCTTGGATCTCGAACGACTTGCAAGACGAACGTTTTGGGTCCCGAATGCCTCAAATCTGGAAGTGATTGTTCCGGTTTGCAAACTTTCTTTGGAACCCGAACATCCGTAGCGACTTCCATGGCTTCTGATTGGCTGCAGGAACTTCCTGCTGCCAATCGGAAGCCGTGCCTTGGTTTCCAAACCATTTTGGAAGTCGAATGGACTTCCAGAACGGATTCCATTTGACTTCCAAGGTACCACTGTTAAGGTAACTCGCATCTTACTTTTGTTTTACTTAAGCAATTGCATAAGTGAGGCAGAATATATAGAGAAAGGAGGAAACCCATTCCCCATTTATTTATCTCCCCGCCCCCAAGCTGTAATTGCTTTGGGAAAGCAGCAGGAGGGCTTTGGGACACTGCCAGAGCCTTTGCACATCTTCCCCAAATCCGTGTAAGCAGCCCTCCACCTAGTGGGTTGGGGCGGTTCCCAGAGTTCCTGGCTTTATGTGTTTATGCGTGGAACCTTTGTGTAAGATGCAAGTTACCTGTACTCTGTGATCTGCCATCTCTCATGCTGTTCTGCAGGATCCTCCAGCTGTTTAGAGCAGATTTTCAAGAGGTTGCAAGAGCACGGGTAATTAGGCAGAAGTTGCCTCCTTTGCCCCTTTATTGTTTCAGTGATTAGTGGTATTTGCATACTGATTAATTGTTATGAATGGAGCTCAATAATAGATACAATAATAGATATTAAACCAGCCCATATCTGGGCAAGAAGAGAATCTGTTCCATTTTCTATATTAAATTTCTCCAGTTTCTCAGGTCACAAGTGAGATTTATTGACATCAAATTTTAACCCTCCAGTGGAAGGCACTTTCACTTGTGTAGTGGAGCTTTCACTGCCTCTGTGCCTCCTCCCACCCCAACTCTCTGCAGCCCCAAACCCACAAGAGCAGAGTTGAGCAATGCTGGGGGGAAAGGGGAAGTCCTGTTGCACATAAAAAGTTCACGTGTGATGTTGGATTTTACCCTTTTTTTAAAAAAAAATATCTAATGCAGTCTGGTGAATTTCTTTTGCTTCAGTCAATATTGAACTTCTGTATCCTAATTATTCACACTCTAACAGTTTAATATTCATAGTGAACCCCTCAGCTAAATTATATCTGGATTTCCATTTATTAATTTTAAATATATACTTTTCACTATATGCCTCAAAGCAGCTTACAGAAAGAATAAGCATACAATATACAAAAGCCTAAACATATAATAATAAGCTAAAACATCAGAAAGTAAAAAAACACAAAGCAGCATTCATAGTGCAAAACCCTTCTGTAGTAAAACTGTGTTAACCTGGCATCTGGAACTTAGCAGGGGTGGTGCCTGCTCAGCTGCTTGTTGTGCCGCAGGTGGTTTTCTTGTTCATACGGGATTATGAATAATTCTGCCTCCGAAGATCTCAATGATCCTGGGCCCAAGTTGTTCAGGGTTTTGTACACCGATAGCGAAAACCTTGAATTAAGCTCAGTAGCAAGTGTATCTTAGAAGACTAAGTCTGGGGAATATAGAATTTAGATTTTTCTCTTCCCTTTATGGTCATGACACTAGGTACTTTGAACGACTTTAGGTGAAGCAACCTAAACTTAGATGTATGACTGCCAGTCTCCTAGAGACTGGGATCATACACAACACAGCTTGCCTTCTTCTATATTTGATTTCAGCTTGGTTAGTAACAGCTTTATTCCCCAGGGCTCGCTTTAACTTCGATTACATCTTTTCTCAAAAGTTATTACTTTCCCCCATCTTTATTTAAATAGGTGTTGATGGATATGTTCCATCAGGATGTAGAGGATATTAGTACGCTGACTTTATCTGATGAAGAACCCTCTACTTCTGGAGAACAAACCTACTATGATCTTGTAAAGTCATTCATGGCAGAGGTTCGACAATATATAAGAGAACTAAATCTTGTAATAAAAGTTTTTAGAGAACCTTTTATTACCAACCCTAAGCTGTTTTCAGGTCATGTAAGTACTGCTATTTAATTTTATTTTGATATGATTGTTTTGGAAAAGCCTATTCAGTTTGAGTCGTGTACAGCCTTAGCACAAAAACTTAATGAGCATAAGCATTTGAAAACCAAAAAATACTGTATCCCTGTTTACAAGCTTAAATTCATGTATCCTCTACTGTGTGGGTGGGTGGGTGGGTGGTGGAAGCAGGAATGTGGTCATTGCTGCCCTGGACAGAAGGGTAGCATATCCATTTAATAAATGAATAAGCAAAGCCACTCCATCATATTCTCAACAGCCTGTCTCTGCACTCACCCACAAGTTAGTGCTGAACGTCTGTAGCTTGCCATCCATGTGTAAGGGTCATTGTATGATTTGGAATCCTGCAGAATCAAGGTTGTGAATAACGCAGAGAGCATGCACAAAAAAAAGCAGGCTCCTCGATGCAGACATTCACTTTGCCTGTATGACAGGATGTAAAGCTAGTGAGTGCATCCTTCCTCACATTCAAATTTAAACCCTGAAAACATTTGTATAAATGCTATTTGAGGTGCTAGTATAGTCAATCCGGTTACAGGTGCCATCACACAGATACATACATACATACATACATACATACATGTATTTCACTTAAAACCTTTATCAGACAATCAAGTGACTAGCAGGACAAATTCCTGAAGACTGATTTACATCTTAATTCATGGTTATATGTAAACCAGCTTGCTTCTGCCTCTTTGGAGACCTGAAACAGGATGTTACCCCCTCAAACCTGCCCTCATTACAGGTATCATGGATTTTCTAATGTGCCATTATCAATCCAATTAAGGGTTGGGATCTAAAGAGCCCCGGTTCCAAGTGAAAGACACATCTGTGCATAACTTGAGGAGAGGGTAGGAGTGATTTTTCTTTAGTCCAAAAGTGATTGCTTGTTAGGAAAGCCAATACTTGTACATTTTTTTTCTTATGTCTTAAATAGTCGCCATGAAATCTGTATTATTCAGGTTCTGTAGTATTTATTCTTGCTTTGATTGACTAACTCCCACCTCCAATTACTATTTATCAATCCATTTATTTTTGCAGGATGTAGAAAATATATTCAGTCGAATATCAGATATTCATGAACTTAGTGTGAAGTTGTTGGGCCATATTGAAGACACAGTAGAAATGACAGATGAAGGTAGTCCCCATCCCTTAGTTGGAAGCTGTTTTGAAGATTTAGCTGAGGTAGGTAATAGTATTTATAGATTTGTTGCTTATATGCTACATATTGCTAATAAATTCTAGATGTATCCTATAAACTGCAATAAAATATATCCGTAATGCCAGACGAGATGGTTGGACAGTGTTCTCGAAGCTACAAACATGAGTCTGACCAAACTGCGGGAGGCAGTGGAAGACAGAAGTGCCTGGCGTGCTCTGGTCCATGGGGTCATGAAGAGTCGGACACGACTAAACGACTAAACAACAACAACAACAAATGCCATACTCTAAGCAGTTTATGTTGGCTAAAAATTTCAACTGCATGACTTAGAGGGATAGATTACTTGTTAGAAACCAGTTACCATTTACACAGCTAGCTGTGCATGTTCTTCTACTTCTAGTGTGTTTCGGTATATAATCTTTAAGAAAAAAAAATCTCTTCTCACCTCCAAATATTTATTGATTAGACAATGCTACTTATTAGTTCATAAGTGAATTATATCCAGTTGCTTTAAACCAGGCTTCCTCAACCTCGGCCCTCCAGATGTTTTGAGACTACAATTCCCACAATCCCTGACCACTGTTCCTGCTAGCTAGGGATCATGGGAGTTGTACGCAAAAAACATATGGGGGGCCGAGGTTGAGGAAGCCTGCTTTAAACTCTGTCATACGTAGGTTGCTTTATTTTCAAACATTTTGTCTTAGCTTGTATTAATTTCTCTATATATAACTTCTATATCATTTATAATCTATCTATTATTATCTATATATAATATAATTTAATTATACTCTTAAGCATTGTATATTAATAACCTGAGTGATTAATTTCAGTTGCAATCAGGAGCCTGTGTGTTGTGTTGTTTTGTTTTGTTTTGTTTTGTTTTGTTTTGTTTTGTTTTGTTTTGTTTTGTTCTACCATATAAGCTTTACTCCCTATTCCACTGAGTTGCTAATGACCAAAACAAATTGGAATCCAATGAATGTTGGTGCATTGGCCAGTTTCTGGTATGGTATGCACTAATGTTGATTGGGTTCCCAAATTAAGATAAGGCAGTAAACATTCCTATCTATCTGTCTATCTATCTACCTACCTATCTGTATATTGCATGATAGCATTGAAACAGTGTTTGAGTAAACTGAAATATTCTAAAATCCTTTATTTAGGAGCTAGCATTTGATCCTTATGAATCGTACACTCAAGATATTTTGCGGACTGGTTTTCATGACCATTTTCTTAGCCTACTGTCAAAGCCTGGTGCAGCATTCTATTTACAGGTATGTTAAGTAGTAAAGTTTACAATGCAAATGATGTAATAATTGGACTTGTTTGTGAAACTGAAATATCTTTTCATTTCTAGTCAATAGGAGATGGTTTTAAAGACGCTGTTCAGTATGTTTTACCCAGACTGCTTCTAGTTCCTGTTTACCATTGCCTTCACTATTTTGAACTTTTAAAGGTAAGAGAGTGGTAGACATGATTGCATCTAATATTTCAAAGATTTTACGTTTAATTTTAAATAGCATTTGCAGCCCACTTATATTGTCATGTGATCTTGCTTTTGGCACTGGGGTTTTTCTGAAGAACAGTGCACAATTAGCAAGTAGAGTGCTGATATAGGTAAAAATGAATTTACGGTGTTCATATGCCACACTTCATAAAATCTTGTCCCAAGGTGGTTGATATAATTAAAGGCATAACAAGATACCAAAAAAAATCAAAATCAAATAAAACAGTTAAACTTCAAAGTGATTTTTTTCTACAAAACCAGTGTTTAAAACAGGAGGCCTTAAAATGCTTAAGGGATTAAAACTTTTTGATCTGACACCTACATGGTAGTAAAAGGCACAAGGCAAATGCATCTGGAATTTTAAAAAGTTAAATTACAGTCAAGAGAATAGGGTGAGTTGTATATCTTGGGTGTTAAAGGGGTATGAATGTGCTTCTTAAGCCTACAAAGAATAAAACATAATGAAGATGTCTGAAACGCCTCTGTGGGAAGGGGATTTCACAACTTAGACACTGGGTTGTAGAATTACACACTTAAGTTATAGACTGGAAACAGTCTGCTATTGAAAACTGAGCACCTAGATTTTAATTAAAGCTAGATGTTGGACTCCTCAGTTTGGCATCTTTACTTGCAACCATTTATCTTTCTTAGTCTCCTTTCTCCAACACTCTTACTTAAACTGATAGCAGTTGACAGCCTCTATGTAAGTGTCTCAGTACTATCATGGAATGTGAACACTTGAACAGGCTTCATGAGCCCTTCTCATAGATTGCTACCATATTACAGTGGTACCTCGGGTTAAGTACTTAATTCGTTCCGGAGTTCCGTACTTAACCTGAAACTGTTCTTAACCTCAAGCACCACTTTAGCTAATGGGGCCTCTTGCTGCTGCTGGTGCTCCGCCAGAGCACGATTTCTGTTCTCATCCTGAAGCAAAGTTCTTAACCTGAAGCACGATTTCTGGGTTAGCGGAGTCTGTAACCTGAAGCGTCTGTAACCCGAGGTACCACTGTATTTTATCTCTTAAGGGACTTTTTTGCTGCTGAAGGATGAAATCTGATTTGTAAACTTATGTAGAAGTATTAACTATTATTTTTACTTTCATAGCAATTAGAAGAGAAAAGCAAAGATCAAGAGGACAAAGAGTGTTTGAAGCAAGCAATTACAGCCCTACTTAATCTTCAGAGTAGTATGGAAAGGATATGCTCAAAAAGTCTTGCAAAGAGAAGACTTAGGTAAATGCATTTCCACCCCCCACCGCACCCCTCGCTTTTAGCCTGGTTTGTTGTTCTATAAAGCCAGGCTTTCCAGTTTCCTCTTTCAGTAAACAATGAACAAAGCAGTTTGTGGCAAGCCTACTTTTTCAAAGGAAGTGACATCAAAGTCCAGATAGCTATTGTTTTCAGAGTCTCTGATATGTGTGTGTCCTTGTACACTTCTAGTGAATGCATCTTGAGAATCTTCTGGTAAGCAGCAAGAAAAAAAGTTTTTCATTAGCTGTTAAGAAATAAAAATACCATGCAGAACCATTTGAAATGCCTAACAATTTTCCTGTTAACTCTTGATGTAGCATGTGCTGTATTTAAAGTAAACAACAGTGTCGTGTCAGATTTTATTTCAGATGCTTACAGTCTTAATCAGGAAATATTACTTGCCACTTTACTGTTTGATCAAAATTGATTGGTTAACTGGAATTCTGTATTAGGCATATAAATTTAAACATTAACAGTAACCATAGCACTTTCAAGTCTGGAACGTTTGAAGCAGGCTCATGGAACATACTTTGAATACTTCTTCAGGCTAATTGTTTTCAAAGTAAGCCTGCATTAGTTATTTTTCTGCTAGTATGTGCAGCTGCTGTTTGAATTAATGTCATTTTGTTTCTCTTTCAAAGTGAATCTGCATGCCGGTTCTATAGTCAACAAATGAAGGGAAAGCAGCTAGCGATCAAGAAAATGAATGAGATCCAGAAGAACATTGATGGTTGGGAGGGTAAAGATATAGGACAGTGCTGCAATGAATTTATAATGGAGGGGACTCTCACACGTGTGGGTGCCAAGCATGAAAGACATATATTTCTCTTTGATGGTTTAATGATTTGTTGCAAATCAAATCATGGCCAGCCAAGATTGCCTGGTGCTAGCAATGCAGAATATCGTCTGAAAGAAAAGTTTCTCATGCGGAAGGTACAGATCAATGATAAAGATGACACTAATGAGTACAAACACGCCTTTGAAATAATTTTGAAAGATGAGAACAGTGTTATATTTGCTGCAAAATCGGCAGAAGAGAAAAACAACTGGATGGCAGCCTTGATCTCTTTACAGTATAGAAGCACCCTGGAGCGAATGTTAGATGTAACAATGCTACAAGAAGAGAAGGAGGAACAGATGAGATTCCCAAGTCCTGAGCTTTACAGGTTTGCAGAACCTGATTCTGAAGAGAATATTGTTTTTGAAGAAAACATGCAGCCCAAATCTGGAATTCCTATTATCAAGGCAGGCACTGTTGTCAAACTCATTGAGAGACTTACATACCATATGTATGCTGGTAAGGAATTTTTCCAAGTCTTTAAAATATCTGAATTTATGTTTGAATGAATTTTAGTTTATTAGTATCTTCTATCTTCCATACACCCAGAGAATCAAGGTGGGGTATAGGTTTCTGATAAAAGTGGCAGCTTGTAAAAAAACTTTTAGTGGTATCCTTGAGTTGAGTGACTTTGCCTCTAGTTAAACCTGTCCAGTAGCTCGGATGCTGGATCATTTTATCTCTGAGATAAAGAACAAAAAGCATACATCCAGTTGATAAGCATTAATATCCTGTTAACATTAACAAACCTACCGAGAAATAGAGCCGTTCTTTAGGAAACAGACTCAATTGAAATGTCATGTCAGCTGTGCTAGTATACATGCAGAAGCATAAACAGATAGTACAGACTAATTTATTACATCTATAAACTTTAGCAGCTGCCTACCATGTGTAACAATGTGGTTTTGTAACATTGTTTTGTAATAGTGCTAATATGAATATATAAGACCATATTAATAAATTTATTTTTTAAATAGAGGAATATGCTTATCTTAAATCACTTGAATCAGGTAGTCTCAAATAAATTGAAAACATTACCTATAATTTGTTCAAGCTGTGATATAGCAGTTAAGTATTGAATCAAGGACCTTGGAATGCAAACGTCTAAACTTATTTAAGGTACCCTCATATGCAATTGGTTCACCTCTTATTTTATGTGCTTTGCTTACAGTATATTAATGAGGGGAAATCTTAATTATTTAAACTTGTCCACATATCCTAAAGGCCATTCCACTTTACAAAATAGTTGAGAAGCACCTTTGGCCCTGAATGTTGTGTTAAAGCATGATGCATTTGATAGTGGTGGGCGTATGCTCATCTGACTTAGGACGTTTTTTCCCATGCTAGCTTTTAATATTTCATTTCAGAGAGGAAGGTTAAATCCATGGAAATTGTATTCAGGAGGACTTTTATGTAGGATTCTCTCCTCTCCTTTTTCTGGCTAATGGGTGCAGAATATAGTTACAGGAATAGCACTTGCTATGCAGTATTCGTAATATGCCACAGTTGTATACAGGGCTGTGTGTATTTCATACTAAAAGGAATTCGGAACCCCAATCCAAATTCTGCTTTAATTAAAAGAATGGTTTTAGGTCATTTATAAATTGTGCAAAATCTGTATTTTAGCATAGATACGCATATTTTTGTGATTTTGCTAGTTATGGGACTGGTAAACATGCTTAAGCTATTCCTTGTGCACCTACTGAGAAACTTATTCATCCACTACACTGGCTTCTGAAGCTTTTGCAAGGTTTACCAAGTACTAAAAGGGCCAGATATTAGCTTTTAAAAAATGAAAAAGCAAGATGCTGAATTCTGCACCCACTGCTACAGAAATGAAGCATGCACACAGTCCCATTGAGTTCCTAGAAAAATGTACATACCTTTTCCAGTTCTTTTTCATGAGAACAGTAAACAAAAACTGCTGTGCATGAATATGCTAATATATTTGGATAGTTTCCCTACCTAGTTTTTTGAGTTGCAGAGTTCTAAATCTTGAATCAATACCTCTTTTCACCTCTTCTAACTGAACAAACACATTCTCTTCAAATTGCTTAAATTAGTCATTAAAAGATCTAAATTCCATCACTAATGATTCCTTAAAACCATCAGTAGTGTATGTGCTTCTATATCAACTGTTTCTTTTCTCTAGCTGTTTCTATTGGCTATTCTAACAGATAAAGCCACTACTTTTGGGGAAAATAATATCGTTATACATAGGTTAGTGGACCTCGGCATTAAATGCTGAAATTCATTCTTACCAAATCAGCACGATAAATAGAATATAAATAGATAAATAGATAAATAAATAGAGGACCCCCGCATCACAGATTTTGGAGACACACAGGGAGCTGCAGGTTGGAGGAGAAGTCCTGTTGGGTCAGCTGAAGTCCTTTTGCACATGGTTGGGTTCTGCAATTGTATCATAATGGGGGAAGGTGGGGGGGTTTGCCTTGGCTCACCTGATATAGAAACTATGGCCCTCTCAATTCTACCCCATATACAGGGATGTTTTTTGTTGGTAACTAGTTTGTGTAAATGAATGGGAAGTTGGAATTGGGACCATTAGCTCCTTGTGGTGCAAAAGTGGCCAGGTTGAGCAAATGGCATTTAAATTCAGTATTGGTTATTTGACAGAACTTTTACATCTTCCCAAAGCCTTTGGTTTTTTTTGGCCTCTGTTCACAGTTCTGTGTGTGGTAAAAGTTCATTTCCATTTCCTGATTTGGCCCTTCCAGTTTTGAAAGAGCTTGCAACTTTTTTTCTCTTGGAGGGTTGTGCTGTTCTATTTATAGAGCTTTGATACGTTGAATGCTTGTGCGTCAGCATAGTGTCCATTTCCTTTCTTAACGCATTCAGGAATGGTTATTTATGATTTTTTTAGATGTTGTTGTTCTTTTGGCTTTTTAAAATGCCTGTTTGAGGAGAGATTTATCACATAGACAGACATCCTGACTTAACTGTGTGTGTGTATTTTTAACCAACTCCTTGGCTCTATGAAGTCATTGCAGGAAAAGAATTTAGTAGGAAAATTGAACTTGCTGTAAAGTAACATCAAACAATGTTCTGAAAGGTATGAGTTTTATAACTAAATGTGCATACTGACTAGTGTATGTAAATACATTGTTCTAATGTTGGGGCAGAAGTTACAGTAGCCCTGTAACCCCTTAGCCCTGATCAAGAATGGGCCTTGGGTTGATGCCCTCCTTCCATTAGAGTCTACTTCTGGTCAAATTAACCCCAAGTGATTCTGGTGCATGCACAATGAACCCCATGATTAAGGGTGAGAGGAATTCATGTCTGAGAGGTTGAGGGCTATATGAAAGGGGTGCATAAGGTTTATTCTCTCCTTGTAGGTTGGAGGAAATTCGGTACAGGGAAGGTCCCATCTCTGGGATTGGGTAGGCAGGCCTTTCCTCCAAATCCCAAACTGTTTTTCATTCTTGGTCAGGGAAGGCTTTTACAAAGTTCACCCAAAGAGCTAGAGGTCACCTTCCACCCTGCACCTCATTCTTTCTCACCAAGTGCATCAAGGAAGATGTGAAGACACACCAGTTAGGGTAACTGCATTCAAGTTGTTTCATGTGCTGTGCGGTAGGCCTTGACTTTCTCTTGCTGCAGTCTGAAGGAACCATGATGGTTAAATTCAACCCTTCAAGAGTCTCGAACCACTATAGATGTGGTAGCAGTGGACACTTTAAAATATACAACTTTGATCCTTGTCTTCTAATTTGGAAACAACAGAGTTAAAAACAGTGTAAACTTGCCTGAGAGGAAGAGAAGATTTCTGGTTCAGGAGAGTTGTAAAATTGTAAAAATTGTAAAAAAATTGGTAAAATTGTAAAGAAGCAGAAGTCTTTTTTGTAGTTATTCGTACTGTATTTTTGAGAGTTTGAGGCTTCTGAAGTTAACACTTAGAGTTCTTCACTAGCTGTCTAAACAATTTATAACAATATAGTGAAATATTTATTTTGTCTGTTCTAGATCCCAACTTTGTTCGAACATTTCTTACAACATATAGATCTTTTTGCAAGCCTCAGGAATTACTGAGTCTCCTGATAGAACGGTAAGAGGACTTTTCTGAAATACTGTGTTGTAATTTTGGTTCCCTTCTTCTGAGATGAGTTTTAAAATAACAATTTTAGCCTATGCAAAGGGTTTATGCCTATTCCCATTCCCTTTCCCCTAAGCACACCCTGGCTATTGTCCAATACCTCCAGAATAGAAGTTAAGGGAGACTAAAATTTGCTGCCTCTCCCTTCCTCTAATAGAGCAGTCCCATCAGTGGAACTCTGTCCGTGGGAAACCTGAAGCCAACCCATATTTCTTTACAGATTTGCGTTTAAGAAAAACCCAAATGCAAATTTCATAGGAAACAATTTCTTCCCAATTTAGTGTGAATCTTCAATTCCAAATTCTGTGCTTTACATGCATACCTAAATAAATGAAGTTACAGCACATGACTGCTTTAATGTGTGTGAAATCAAACATATACAGTGGTACCTCGCAAGACAAATGCCTCGCAAGACGGAAAACTCGCAAGACGAAAGGGTTTTTGGTTTTTTGAGTTGCTTCGCAAGACGATTTTCCCTATGGGCTTGCTTCGCAAGACAGAAACGTCTTGCAAGTTTGTTTCCTTTTTCTTAAAACCATTAATACAGTTGCGACTTGACTTCGAGGAGCAACTCATAGCACGCGGTGTGGTAGCCTTTTTTGAGGTTTTTGAAGACTTTGGTGATTTTTGAAGCTTTTCCAAAACTTTTCCGACACCGTGCTTCGCAAGACGAAAAAAATCGCAAGACGACAAAACTCGCGGAACGAATTAATTTCGTCTTGCGAAGCACCACTGTATTTAATTTGAGGTACAGTGATACCTCAGGTTAAGAACTTAATTCGTTCTGGAGGTCCGTTCTTAACTTGAAACTGTTCTTAACCTGAGGTACCACTTTAGCTAATGGGGCCTCCCACTGCCACCACGCCTCTGGAGCACGAGTTCTGTTCTCATCCTGAAGCAAGGTTCTTAACCCGGGGTACTATTTCTGGGTTAGCAGAATCTGTAACCTGAAGTGTCTGTAACCCAAGGTACCACTGTACAGGCAACTTCCCATTCACATGTGCTCTATTTGCATGTAACTGTGCACATGGGGTGCCAGGAACCCAAAAGTGGATCCAGTAATGGGGATCACCCTGGAGAGTCCTCCTAGCTCATGGGGAGACTCTCCCCAGAGCCTCCCCACCTAATATCACATCAGCTGAGCAAACCCTGCAGCCCCCTAACTCACGTGAGGTGGAAGGGTCTTGTTGACTGCCTCAGCTGATGTGTAAGGAAGAAGCTTCCCTGCGCGTCAGCTGTGCAAGCCCCGCTGCCCCCTCCGGCTTATGCCTGAGCAACAGTGGGGCTTGTTGAGTGACTCACTCCTCCAGGGTACTCCTGATATACACAGTTTTGGTTATACGCAGGGAGGTCCGGACTGTAACCCCCACATAAATTGAGGGTTGTCTGCATTTAATGTGTAAAATACAAGTGCTATTCAGTTATGTCATACTAAGTAGTCAGATGCCTGTGTTGACACCCATCTGTCTCAAGAGACAATGGAGCGAACCTCCAGGGGTGAAGTCAAACCACAGATGCCTGCATCTTTGCAAACTGATTTCCATTTTACTCCAAACTATATTGAATTTATTTAGTCTCAGATTGGTACCACTGTAGTATATTCCCTATTCAATCACACTTAAGGGTATTAAACCTGTGTCAGTTGGAAAGCTTGAAATTTTATAGGGGTTGTGGCCCTTCCCTTTCCTGCCTGAATGGAACTTTCCTAAATGTAAGAATTTTAGTACTATTCCTTATTGTTCATTGCAAATGTTAAATACCTGTTTAGTAACCTACTTTTTACATTACCATCCCACATTAGATTTGAAATTCCAGAACCTGAACCAACGGAAGCAGACCGCATAGCTATGGAGAATGGAGATCAACCTCTTAGCGCAGAGCTAAAAAGATTTAGGAAGGAATATATACAACCTGTACAGCTGCGGTAAGTAATCTTAAGTGTGTAAACTGCATCTTATTTAGATCCCAATTTTTAAAATCAGTGGGTGGGATCCAAAGGACTGTACAATGTTCTATGCATATACCAGAGCTTTTCAACCTTCCCACCACTGTACTTTCAAAAAGCTTCTGATCCAGAGTTCCACACGACTGGTCTTTATTTGAAATGTATGCCTCAAAGTTAGTGTGATTTCTTAATGAACTGTGCTACATTTATTAATGTAGTTATAATATGCCTTATCTGAAAATATTTCAGAAATGGCATTTCATCTACCTTGTGTTTCGCTTGATAGTATTGTTGCTTATATATTTTCTTCATTACAGATCTTAATTCAGTGATACCATGCCTTTTCCAGAACATTATATCCCCTAATATTGTGTATCGTATTCAGTATTGTTTATTCACCATTTTAATTCCACTAGATGATGCATCAGCCATTACAATCTAGAGGGGAGATAGAATTCATCCTTGAAAGACATACTTTTTAACGTATTTAAGTGCACAGTAAATGTTAATTGGTAGTAGAACTTGAGGATGACCATAGACATAAACTGGATCAACTTGACCTTTTGTTCTGGCTAGGTTTGCTACCACTGCGCACATTCACTTATTACCCAGCTACCAGAGCTTGGACAGGAGATTGGGGGAACTCAGTGTTCTAGTCCTCCGTTTCGAGGCCCAGCAAATCAGACAGGAGTTTTGGCATGGATCCTGACAGCTGTATGGCACTTCTTCAGGGAGTCAGGACAGTATATATGCTGCAAAATGAAACAAGCCCTACAGCTCTAGTAGACTTTGTCAAAAATATATCATTTAAACCTTGTCCTAAAATATTGTATAATCTCTGTTAATGTTGTAGAGTTCTAAATGTATGCCGGCACTGGGTGGAGCATCACTTCTATGATTTTGAGAGAGATGTAGATCTACTTCAACGGTTGGAAGAATTCATTGGCACTGTCAGAGGTATTTGATTTGATTATTACAAAGATCTAGCATGATCTGCTTCTTTTTCTTTTGTACCTGTTTTATTAAAGTGTGATGTTTCAGTTTGCCAGTTGGGCTTTACAAGGCAAAGGTCACTAATGAGATACACAGATGGGCACCCTGAGCCAGGAGATCCAAGAGTCATTCAGGCTGAGCATGTGCCAGCAAGCCTGATCTCAAAGTCACACTGATTTTAGGACTAAAAAATAATTTCCCTCCAATTCAAGACAATGGTAGCAACTGGAAGGAAGATTTCCAGGTGCAGAAAGGGTAGGATGGTTGTCTGGGCTATTCTGGACAGTTAGATGCTTGGCTGTAGGTGGGTATCTTTTGGTATTGATTGGAACTTAACAGCTCAGGGATCTCTCTAAGCTACTGACAAATACTGTTGTGATTCAAATAGGATATGGATATTTGGCTTTAGCAGTTCCAAAAGTTTCCAGGCCACTGTACAGAGGGCCAGGACACTCGCTTTCCCTGTCAATAGAATTGTAGTTGAAAGGTACCCTGGGGGTTATCTAGTCCAGTCCCCTGCAATGTAGGAATCTCAACTAAAGTATCCCTGACAGATGGCCATGCCATCCAACATCTGCTTAAAAACCTCCAATGAAAGAGCGTCCACCACTCTCTTTCAACTTGGAGTCTGTTCCACTGTCCAACAGCTTTTACCATCAGAAAGTTTTCTGATGTTTACTAAGAATCTTCTTTTTTGTAACTGGAAGCCATTAGTTTGTGTCCTACCCTCCAGAGCAGGAGAAAACACCCTTGCTCCATCTTCCTTGTAACCGCCCTTCAGATATTTGAAGATAGCTATCTTGTCTTCTCTCAGTCTCTTCTGCCTAGAGCCAAGGTGATAGTGTGTGGTTGGGTGTGGGGATTGGGGACAAGCTGGTGCTCTCTGGTAGCGACATACAACACTTAGGAAATACATTACCACAAGACATGATGATCGCTAGTTTAGCTAGGTTTAAGCAAAAGGATTAGGCATTTTAAAATGTAGGTCTCTGTCTGGGGCCTCATGTTCAGAAACAGTATATTATAGGCCTTATCCTAAATGCTGGGAACAGGGGATGACTGTCTGCACCGTGCCTTATTTGTGAGTTTCCTGGTTGCATCTGGCTGTTGGTGCTAGACCAGATGGCTCTGGTTTCGTTTTCTGAATTTCTCACATTGTCTTCCACTGTTCTCCCATTAGGTAAACTGAGCATTTTCATTATTGGAACGTTTCTAGCTACTAGGTAACTTTGTTATTATTCAAATGCTAGAATGTATTTTTCTTTTACTTCTCAGGTAAAGCTATGAAGAAATGGGTTGAGTCAATTACAAAGATAATCCATAGGAAAAAGCAAGCACAAGCAATTGGGCCAAGTCACAATATTACTTTTGAAAGCTCACCACCTCCAATTGAGTGGCATATTAGCAAGCCAGGACACATTGAAACATTTGACCTGCTTACGTTGCATCCAATAGAAATTGCTCGACAGCTCACGTTACTTGAATCTGAACTTTACAGGTAGCTCTGAAAACAATATTATTCTCTTCTACATCATAATATTCAAGCAATGTAGTGTTCGGTCCTGGTCATTTCTGCATTCAGTTCTTACTAGCAAAGCTATTCATATTGCATTTAGGGAACAATGTTCCAAATTGTGACTCTAGTATATATTAATGTGAATTTGATATAGGTAGTAAAGTGATAATTTATTTTCATATGTTGGCATTTTGGAGCTCACTGTTAAAAAATGTATTATGAAAGCAAGATTTGTAAGCTATAAGCTTCCAGAACCTCATCCACAGATATAGTATTTAACTGGAGATGGAGAGAATTGGTTGTTAAAAGTAGATGGTAGAACAATGACATTCTACAAAGCAAACAAAAAAAATGCAGTCAATTTTTTTTCCTGATTTCAGAATTATTGGTTATTTGTGTTAATCTAGATGTAAGTAGTAGCTTAACTGACCATAAAATGATAGCCTTTTCTCTGTAATTTATATTTATTGTCAATTTGTAGAGCTGTGCAACCATCAGAGCTGGTTGGAAGTGTATGGACAAAAGAAGATAAGGAAATCAATTCTCCTAACCTGCTCAAGATGATACGACATACCACAAATCTTACTTTGTGGTTTGAAAAGTAAGTTGCTCAAGTGCTTTGACTAAGAACTTCTAAATATTGATATTAACATCCAGGTCCATACAGAGTCTGAGACCCGAGATAGGAGTCTTGTTAGAATGACCAAAAAAAACCAGCCAAAGGCATTAGGTAAGACTTTGTTTGGATGGAGGGGTGGTTGTAGCCTCTGCCTGCCTCTCCTTATTAAGGGTATCTTGTTAAAGAGATCTGGGGGTGGGGATTCTGTCTGATGCCCGGATGTGGGGTTGGACCATGCAACAACCCCAACGGGGATCCCTCAGGGTGCCCCTATTTGATGTAAGTCATCGGGCCCCCCATATTGGTGGTTTACCCTTAGTTTGACTGCCTGCAGATGGGCGGGAGTCGAGATACAGTCTGGCTTCACCCAATGCCTAATCCAAACTGCGCACATTTGTAAACAATAAACCAAATCCACTTGTCCGTGTGTTTATTATCCACTAGGGAACTGTGGATCACGGGGCCTTGGCATGCAACATCATTCCTGAGCTGCAACTTGGCAAAATATTGGAGCTTCATAGAAGGAAATAATTATAGCAAGAACAATAATTCCTAAACTTCTCAGTTATTTGAATTGAAAGACAGTATATTCTTTGAATTATGCACTGGTTTTAGACTGAGTTAGTAATCCTCAAATTGGGCTTTGAGAAATTAAATAATTAAAGGCTCGTCTGAGTTTAGTGGAGCTGCTGATAGAGGAACCTGTCTATTGCATGTCTCATGATTCACTTCTCTAATCTTGCTGCCTTGGCTCCCTCTCAGGGCCATTAATTTGGCTGCATCTCTCCATCAGGCATGATAAGATCATTCAGTCATTCCTGTTTATCAGGTAGTAGAATTCCCTCCATAGGAGCGGATGGTCCGTTGCAGCTCTGTATGAATTTTACTTCTCCAGACTGTTTCATTCCTATCAAGAGGTGTGTGCCCTGATCATGCAGAAACAAGAGGTGGGCTCTTCTGAAGGCAGACTTTTACTTTCCTACTGGTGTGCAAGTTTAACGTATAATGTTTTCCCATTTGGATTCAGAAAAGAAGTTGGCTTCAGTAATTATATCAGCTGTTTGGAAACCCCTGCATTAAGTCACACTTGTCAAAATAAAATTATAATAAATTGGTGCTTTTTAACATTCTTGTACTGATAAGTACATCTTTTTGTACATTTAGATGCATCATAGAAACAGAAAACTTAGAGGAAAGAGTAATTGTAGTATGCCGTATAATTGAGATCTTGCAAGTTTTCCAAGAACTAAACAATTTTAATGGTGTTCTTGAAGTTGTCAGTGCTATGAACTCTGCACCTATTTACAGACTGGATCATACCTTTGAGGTAAGTCACATGTATATCTAGAAACTGTAATTGTTTTAACTGTTGCTGAATAAAGTATCGTTGAAAAAAACAAAAACATTTAAACCAAAACCACTTTTTTCTTTTTCTTCAGTCTTCAGCATGAGCACTGGGTAGGCTGTTGGACACATTTTTCTTTACATAGAGATAATTTTAGGGTTACATTAAACACTTACAAAATGCAGTGCAAATGTTTGTTTTGTCCCATGTACAAGGGTAAGAAGCCACTGTGACATCTTGTTTATTTTGCCAAAAGTTCCTTTGTGCATCATGTCCCCATTTGCAGACTGCATATATTCCCTAGACTGAGATTATCTCCATGGTGGAAAAGCATCATGTTAAGAAGTAGTGTCTCTTCTCTCCACAAGAAAGTGGGGCTGAAGCTGAGCAATTGAAAACTAGAGCAAAAAATCAAGGGCACTTCCCAGTGCCACACATAATATAACCCATTTTTTGATATGAAAAGCACTTCAATATGTAAGGGGTGAGTGAACCCTCCAAGCGAATCTACATATTTTGACTGGCCCTTAATTTGAGATCACTGATAACATGTGGTTTGTAGTTGTCCATCTCTCAGCTTTCTTTATGCATCTTCAGCAAATCCCAAGCCGCCAGAAAAAGATTTTTGAAGAAGCTCATGAACTGAGTGAAGACCATCATAAGAAATACTTGGCAAAACTCAGGTCTATTAATCCTCCATGTGTGCCTTTCTTTGGTAAGTAAGATTTATTCTTGAAGAATATAAAATCACAAATGTTGATAAGCCACAGAACTATTAAGAAGCCATTTCTTAAATATATTAGTGGAGCTTGCTATATTGTTTGGAATAGCCAGGCATTTCAAAGAATCAGTATCTCAACTGTTCAATATCAAATCCACAATTTCACTACATTTTAGTTGGAACCCTTGACCTGATTTTTCAGCTATCTTCATGTGGTAGGTACTAATACAAATTAGTATTTAACTCATTTAGAAACATTAAGCATTTGTGAAGTGTACTTTGTGGTTCTAGCTCAACCAGGGAACTATCAAAGGATGGAGATCAGATAAAGTGCTCCAATTTACTCTGTGCTTTTCTTTTTAGTGCTGTGCTATACTCTACTTGATAAAGATACTTTCCGACTGTGCTTTGACAGTAGGCTGATTCAGATGCAATGATCTCTGTCTAATAAACCATGGTGTTTTAAACAGTACAAACATTGTGCATGTGTGCCTTCTCCTTTCCTTTCCCCTTCTCCAGTAGTGGTGAGGAAATACTAAATATAGAACACCTGAATATAGAATACTAGATCTGCTATGTAAATAAGCCAGGGAGGCTCGCCCGATGCATTTGTTACATATTTTTAGATGTCAGACAAGCCTTATTCCAAGTCTTTGGCTAATTAAACAATCCATGGCCTTTTAAATGGGCAGGGGGTATAATTGTTTTGGTTTGTTATTATGGTATATGTTTTCTGTTTTTATATTGTAAACTACCCCTATGATCTTTGGGTGAAGGTCAGTATAGAAATTTTAATATTAATGATAATAATAATCCATAAAGTTTCTCACTCACATTTTTTACCAAACTATTTTGTGAGCGTTCCTATTTATAAGATTAAAAGGATCAGGTTTTAGAAAATAGCTGCCTAGTTGCATGGAGGTAATTTATATGCTCTGCAGGCAGCCAGGAAAGTGGTTGTTTACAAACCTGTACTGTATTATTTATTTACATAATGACATTAGTACACATTATGCTTTGGATTGCAAGAACACATAGCCCTGCCCCAAGGAGCTTATAATCTGAAATTTGACACACCAAATGGAAGGTAGTAAAAAGGAATGTATTACTGTTTCAGTTGCATACACGTAGCCTTGGTGATAGGGCATGGGGATTATGGGGTGGTACCAAAGGCTTCATGGAAATTGTGGGTTTTGAAGAAGAAGGAAAATAGGTAACATCACAGATGGTCTAGAAGTCAGTGAAGGGTGATGGAGCTGGAGGAGTGAAAATCATGGATAGATGCAAAAAAAGATATAAGAATGGAGAGAGAAGGAACTTGGAGGCCTTTAAGGTAAGGGGAAAGAAGGGAAGTAGGGTCACTCCATTGGCTTTACTGTGAGACCTCCAGTCTTTCAGCCTTTCTCTCCTTCAGCACTTACTAGCAGCAGCCATTTTATTGGGCTGCAGAGTAGAGAGAGAGAAGGGAAGCAGGGCCATTCCATCCTCCTTTCCCTGAACAGTTGAAACCCCAGCTGGTTGTTATAAGAACACTGTAACCTGTCCTGGTACCTGCTTCACCCGCTCCATCCCCTCCTCCTTTTTCATTCTGTGTTAGGTTTGTTGCATTGTAAGCCTTGCGGGGTATGGATAGACTGTCTTTTAAAAATTATTATTGAGTGAGAGCCTTTCAGATGAAGAGCTGGTAGAATGGCAGGCCAAAAAAAATGAGGATGAGATTCAAAGAGTGTGGGTGGGTGCATGCCATGAGTCTGGAAGCTAGTAACCAAAAGTTGAGGAAAGGGTTAGGAGGCACTGTGGAGTTTTGAAGGAGGATGTGGAGATGGGTAGAGAGGCAGGTGGCAAAAGGTGTAGCTTCTCATTAGAATCACTTGGTCACAAACAAACATTAAGTGGGCAGTGCCCTTTGGCCACCATCCAAGGTTAGTTAACCATGTGTTGAGATGAAGCCCAGACTTTGTTTCACCCCATGTAAGTAGCACCAGCAAGGCCAGCAGGCACATCTGCTTGGAGGAGAGGAGATCAGGAATCCCTTTGTTGGATCTTCAGAAAAAAATTTAGTGCATAATTCAACCTTCCCAAAGCCTTTGTAGCTCTAACCAAAATTCTAGTTTTCCACTGAAAGACCATAACCATTTTATAGCTGCAATTTTTTTGGACGTTAATTGTAGGAATTTATTTAACAAACATCTTGAAAACGGAAGAAGGCAATCCTGAATTTCTCAAACGACATGGGAAAGAACTTATCAATTTCAGTAAGCGGAGGAAGGTGGCTGAGATAACAGGGGAGATCCAACAGTACCAAAACCAGCCATACTGCCTAAGAGGAGAAGCTGATATCAGAGTAAGTAGGATTTTTTGCTCTTCTAGGTTCAGTTTCTTTTTAGTGGCCATGAGGAAATGCTTATACTGTAAGTTGAAGCTCCTTTGCTGACCAGGGTATTGTTCTGATTTTATTACGCCTGAATTTATTTTCAGCCCTTAGACTGACTCCCAACTCTACAGTCCTTTTATTTCTCAATTATCAACTTCTAGAGCATGTCCTCATCAAATAAGAGTTGATTTTAATCTGGTTTTGCTGTTCAACAGATCTGTTGATTCTATGTTAATCTTTCTGAATATTTTGGGTTTCAGAAATTTTTTGAAAATCTGAATCCAATGGGAAATAGCATGGAAAAAGAGTTTGCAGATTATCTGTTCAACAAGTCTCTAGAAATAGAGCCACGTAACGTCAAGCCACCCCCAAGATTTGTGAGTATTTAGATTTCTCAGTTAATGTATGCTATAAAATACAGTTGGAGCGGCACAAACTTTTTAATAGAAAAAAAGTAAGTAATTTTACAGTAAAAACTATCAGTGTTCTTCATATAAACAGTGTTTTTGGTTTCCTGTGCAGCCCAAAAAGTACACCTATTCTCTCAAATCTCCGGGTGTTCGTCCATCAAACCCAAGACCAGGCACCATGAGACACCCTACACCTCTGCAACAGGAGCCAAGAAAAATCAGTTACAGTCGTGTCCCTGAGAGTGAAACAGAAAGTGCTGCTTCTGCACCAAACTCTCCAAGAACACCGCTCACCCCACCTCCACCATCGTCCACTTCCAGCACCACAGATGTCTGCAGTGTCTTTGACTCTGATCCCTCCACCCCTTTTCATTCAAGTAGGTGCTGTAGCAAGGATTGGGCTATTCTTCTCCTTTTTAAGTTGTTTGGCCTGTGTCGCATGTGGGCATGTTTTCTGATACTGCTGTTATGTGCCAAACCACAGAAACTTGTTTGGTTGATGCTTGTATTTTGAAAACGGTTTTCTTAAGTTTGATTGAATTCAAACCATGATTCAAAAGGGAAAACTGAGATGTACTGTTTTAAGTGAAGGCCTTGTTTGCTGTTTGTACAGGGTGAGTCCTTTAAAAGAGGCCCCATGGATACGGAGTACACATGTTCCACGGGACGTCTTTTAAAAGACTCACCCTGTACATGGCAGGATGCTAGTAACAGTGACAATTATTTTATTTTCTTACCGTATTTTTCGCACGATTGGACGCACCGGACCATAGGACGCACCTAGTTTTTTGGGGGGGAAATAAAGGAAAAAAATTTCCCCTTTATTTCCCCCCCAAAAGCAGGTCAGGGAAACCGAACCAGGTCGAGGAACAGCGGGATAGTGGCGCTGCGCCTCCCTGCTGTCCCCCGAGCTTGTGGGGCTGGCCGATGTCTGTCCGGCGGGCGGGGCGCTCTGCTTCAGGGCGCCCCACCCGCCAGGCAGCAGGCTGCTATCCGCAGCGTGGGGAGCCTTGTGGGGAACTCCTGCAAGGCTCCCCACTCTGCGGATGTATGCCTGGCGCGAGGGGCGCTCTGCTTCAGGGCGCCCCACCCGCCAGGCAGCAGGCTGCTATCCGCAGCGTGGGGAGCCTTGTGGGGAACTCCTGCAAGGCTCCCCACTCTGCGGATGTATGCCTGGCGCGAGGGGCGCTCTGCTTCAGGGTGCCCCACCCGCCAGGCAGCAGGCTGCTATCCGCAGCGTGGGGAGCCTTGTGGGGAACTCCTGCAAGGCTCCCCACTCTGCGGATGTATGCCTGGCGCGAGGGGCGCTCTGCTTCAGGGCGCCCCACCCGCCAGGCAGCAGGCTGCTATCCGCAGCGTGGGGAGCCTTGTGGGGAACTCCTGCAAGGCTCCCCACTCTGCGGATGTATGCCTGGCGCGAGGGGCGCTCTGCTTCAGGGCGCCCCACCCGCCAGGCAGCAGGCTGCTATCCGCAGCGTGGGGAGCCCTGTGGGGAATTCCTGCAAGGCTCCCCACGCTGCGGATGTGTTCCCGAAGCGCCTGGAGCTCTGCTTTCAGGGCGCCCGACGCTCCGGGAAGCAGGCTGCTATCCGCAGCCTAGACACGGCTAGCGGAGCGCTAATCCCGAAGCTTGGGGCGTGCGGAGCTCAGCGCGCCCCAAGCTTCTGGGCGCTAGCGGAGACCTTGCTGGCGCCCAGAAGCTTGGGGCGCGCTGAGCTCCGCACGCCCCAAGCTTCGGGATTAGCGCGGCGCTTCGCTAGCCCTGGGAGAGCCACACGACGTCGCGGGGCTCTCCCAGGGCTAGCGAGACCTTGCCGGCACCCAGAAGCTTGGGGCGCGCTGAGCTCCGCACGCCCCAAGCTTCGGGATTAGCCCGGCGCTTCGCTAGCCCTGGGAGAGCCACGCAACGTCTCGGGGCTCTCCCAGGGCTAGCGAGACCTTTCCGGCACCCAGAAGCTTGGGGCGCGCTGAGCTCCGCACGCCCCAAGCTTCGGGATTAATGCAGTGCTCCGCTAGCCGTGGGAGAGCTGGGTCTCCCACGGCTAGCGGATAGCTTCCTGAAGCCTGGAGAGCGAGAGGGGTCAGTGCGCACCGACCCCTCTCACTCTCCAGGCTTCAGCGAAAGCCTGCATTCGCTCCATAGGACGCACACACATTTTCCCTTGCTTTTTAGGAGGGAAAAAGTGCGTCCTATGGTGCGAAAAATACGGTAATTCATTTGTTTCTTTCCTGGCCTTTATCAATCCATGGTCCAAGGGCATGTTAAAACATAAGATACAACACTAAGAATACCACAACCATTGGCAGCTCTTTGGCTTAAGCTGCTTTGTTTTGTTTGTGAAAAGAAATCCTGATTCCTCAGGAACTTAGCAGGAGGAGGCTTATAGATAAGAGGCATACATTTTATATGCTGTATTGTACTTGTTTAGAATTTACTGTTAAAGTACTAGAAAAGTAGAAAAATTCAAATGAGATGGATAATAGAATTTTTCATACACTTTCAGGGTCAGCTTCTGTGTCTTCCATAAGTTTTCCAAAAAGCTCAGATGAAATTACCGTTCCCCCTCCTATTCCTCCCCGGAGACGTCCAGAATCTGCTCCTGCTGAATCTTCTCCTTCAAAGGTAATTTCACCGCATTTCTCTCTGCAGGAACAGTAAGATGAAAATACAATGGAGAGGGAGAGCCTGCTGTCACTGCCACCCCCACAACCTTTAAAGACAAAAGACCACTAGTGTGTGCCTCCCCACAGAGGAAAGGGTTTATTCCGCCTTTTAAAATAAATGGAGCTTCAGATTTACAACCTAGTTTCATTTAATTCTTATACAAGGTGACAGCAAAAGTTAACATTCACTGGGGGGCTGGAAACATTCTGGGTTTTTTATGCTCCACCTATAATCTATAATGATAAATGAGTTTGGCTTATTTTAATTTTAATGTAAAGGCACAGCATGAATGGGCTATTTAAAGCTGCTTCAGTGTTTCCATATCCACTCCCACCTCCTGGAGCTCCTGGAGCTCTGGTTCCTGCAGTTTCAGTTTTAAGTGGCTGTTTGAAAAAGGTAGGGATCCTGCTGCCATACTCACAACTAGCAGCTTTAAGAAAGTTAAAAAAAGAAGACCCAATAAGGTATGCGCCTTCAAAAACAATGGGAGAACTAGTTTGGGTCCCATCCAAATGGATAACCTTTTTTTTAAGAGGAAGGGAGGGGGAACAATAACAACTTTAGTAAAAAATAAAATTTCTGGTTGCCACTGGTGACCCTATTTGTTCCTGTGCTTATACATTTTTGCACCTGGGAACACCTTTAGTGCAACTCTTTGTCTTTATCCATTAAAGGGCTCCCATCTCCTGTGCTGGATCTCCTACCTATCCAGCCCGATTCTGTTTCCTCTTCCCATCTTTTGCTTCTGGAAGAGATTTGGGCAATAGAGAAGAATCTGACAAGCCTCTCCTATTTCCTCCTCCCCCCTCACACACACACCTTCTCCTTTATGTGGGCATCCAGCTTTTGTCCTCTGTTGGAATCTTGTTGTAGGAGCACTCCTAGAAGTAAGATGAAATGAAAGCCTTTAGACCAGAGGTAGCTAAACCATTCTGGCCAGAAGGCCACATCCATCCTCTAGGGGCCACATGCTAGCAGTGCAGCTGGCCATCCCACACACTCTTGTGCATACTCTCACAGGCAGGTAGGCAGGCACCTAGCCCCTCCTCTTCCATGCCGATCAGCTAAGGACTACGTGTCATTGCCCCCGTTGCTCAAATGATCATTCCAGAGACAAGTTTGAAGGGATGGGTAGTTGTCTCCTCCATCACAGCACTGCGCTTTGCACACCCAACTTTTTCTTTTTGCTGCTGCTACCAAAATTGGTGGGTTCTTTTGGGTAGTAGATTATGTCCACAACCCAAGGATTGGCCATTCCTGCTTTGGGCTTTCTCTAATCCTTTGAAGATAATTCATATTAGACGTGCTGTGTGGGTTCTTTCTACTCCAAAAGAGAACAACCTGTATTGGGTAACTCTCTCAACTCACCTCTGCAGGTGGAATTAGTCCAAAGTGTCTTCGCCCTCTTTTGTGAGGTTCCGTCTTGGGATATTTGTTCCCCAGTGCAACATTGAGGTCTTTGAATTATGTCCTAACAAATCTTTATATTTCAGATTTCTTCTGCACATCTGGACAGCCCACCAGCAATCCCTCCTCGGCAGCCGACATCAAAAATCTATTCACCGAGATACTCGGTGCCAGACAGGACCTCCATCTCTGACCCCCCAGAAAGCCCACCTGTATTGCCACCTCGAGAACCTGTACGAACTCCTGATGTTTTCTCTAGTTCACCTCTCCATCTCCAGCCACCACCCTTAGGCAGAAAAAGTGAACTGGGCAACACTTTCTTTCCCAACAGTCCGTCTCCATTTACTCCGCCTCCCCCCCAGACGCCTTCTCCTCACGTTGTCCGGAGGCATTTGCCATCACCTCCTTTGATACCCCAAGATACGGACCTCCATTCTGTTGCTGGGCCCCCTGTTCCTCCTCGGCAAAGCACTTCTCAACATATCCCAAAGCTTCCTCCAAAAACTTACAAAAGGGAGCCCACGCATCCATTGATGCACCGTGATGGACCCCCTTTGCTGGAGAACGCCCACTCCACCTGAATTCTCCCTTGTGCTCGAGAGAGAATGCTTTCCCTGGTGCCATGTCTGTTGCTGGCAATAGATGCACTGTACCTTGTGGGCACCAAGGAGTTGAGCTGTGTTGCTCCTAACACTAAAGACTCTACGTTTGATATTTGGTGTACAAAAAGAAGAAGAAAGAATCTTAATAACAGGCCCCTTACCGTGAATAAACTGTTGCTGTTTGTTAGTATAGTATGCAGGGCCCTGTTCTAAAGTCAGTGGACACCTGAATGTACCCGAAATCAGATTTGCAGATCTCTTTGGGCCAATAAGCAGACATTGTGCTTTGTGTAAACGTCCTGTGAGGGATAAAATGCATAGTCCTGTATTCATCTGTCCACCATGATGTAAGTTCTTGGAGTAAAAATATTATGCACTTTTTTAAAAAAGAATCTCAAACAGGGAACTTGATAGTCTTCTTAATTTTCTTTTGTTTTATTCCCTGCTTTCAAATCATGAACTGGACTGTGAGGAAGATCTGTGGTACTGAACTGAACCAACATAGAGCTAAGACATAGCACCGTACTGCAGTCCTGTTTACAAACTGTTACTAGTAATACATGGGTACCTAGGCTTCACCAAAGAGGTACTTTCCTCCTCCTCTATGAATATTATGGTGCCAGTTCAAAAAGAATTTTTTGCCAGTAAACAGAATGCCTAACTTTTAACCGCCTTTAAACAAATGAGATTTAAGTCTTATATGAATGACACCAATGATGCAAACTGCAAAACAATGCTATTGTCAGAGTTGAATCTGTTTCTCCATTTAGAAGACTGTTAAATCTAGACTAGGTTAGGTCTTCATTTTAAGGTTTACTGATAACCCACTTAATGGCTGGTAGTTCAACATCTTTGAGACTATGCCATGAAAATGCAAAAGATGATCCGCTGGCCATATTCCCTAGTTATCACCATGTTTTAACTAGCAGTAGGTAGATGAATAATCAGCACCCATAGAATTGCCTTGTAGTTGCATAAATAAATCATATGTATATAGTGAATGTTGCATAAATATACTTGCAAATTGTTTTTAATTTAATTGAAATAAAGATACAGATATTTTGTCTGGCTGACATATATTAAATTATTGCATTTCTAAATGTACATTTCAGTTTAAAGCACTGAGGAGGAGACACATGCTGTGGTACACACCTCTCTTTCTTGCTCATTGTTTTAGTCTGTAAAGAAAAAATTTAGAAGAAATCCAAGGTTTGGCATGTGAAATAAATGTGTGTTAGGGGTGATTTGGAAGTGAACATCTGTGTGCTTACATGGATCTCAAGCATATAATACAGTTCAGAATTCCAAACTCTGTTTAACTTCTTAAACCTTGAAACTGATCTTGACCGTGTCAGAAATGTTTGAAAGAAAATAATCTACATGAATATTTTGCCTTGGATTATCCATAGACCTGTGAATTGCGCTTCTGATTCTTGTACTGTGATAGTAATGCATGCCACTTATTGAAGATATTTTAATCCTTTCTACTACACTAGGACTTGTGAATGGTGCAGTGTTGTATCATTAGTTGCTAAGACTCTTATAGGATGTTTTCTCCTTGGCAAAACCAAAATACATTTCGGTAATCTAGAAAGCCATGTCACTGGAACAGTGATGGTAGAGGACCGTATCACCATGAAAGCCTACTGTTCTAAGACACTTCTACAGCATTATGTAGTGTGGTCTTTGCATTTCAGGAAAACGTTCATTTAACCTGCATTAAATGGATCCTTCTTAACATGTACGATATGCAGAAACAAAAGGGCATTCTGAGATAAAAAAATTGTATAATGCTAGCCTATGACAAGTGTTAAGTTGAGCCCAGCTGAGGGTTAGAGATACTTTAAAATGACTGAACTTGCTAAGGGAAAGTTGAGAAAATGCTCCCTACTTAAATACATTTTTTTTCTTGTAACACTAAAGGTAGTGGTAATGCTCCTGTCCATAAGAACTCTGCAGATGCCTACAGAGTGAAAGTTCCCTAATCAATCCACTCCAGAAAAAAGTGGGAGCGGGATTATAGTTTGATAAATCCATTTAGCATTTGCAAGCAGCAACATTTTGTACAGATCTGTCTTATTCTTGTTTTGAGTGGGGAAATGATGTTCACTTAATATTTCCAGCAGCCCCGTAGTTGCTAAGATTATCATGCTTGATACACCCCAGATACTTTGATAATTAAGCAGTATACAAACAGTTTAAATAAATAAAATACTTAATCCAAGATGAATTGGCTTAAGCCATTTAAGAGAAACTAAGTCATTTGTTCCATTGAGGCTGTCTGTCAGCTTCATGGTCTCTTATGGTAGCTGAAGTAAAATATTTAGGTCAGCAGAACTTATAAAAAGTGCAAATTTTAAATCTGTGTGTGCAAAATTTCCCCAGATCCCCTGAAGCGGATGTTGTACATGTGCAAAGTGTGTGTAGTTCTTCAGGCCTCTTGTTTAACATAATCAACTTTCATTGTGTTAAATGTGCTGTGTTTTTAAGCACTGAAAATGTTTGTTTTGATTAGAATTACTTTGTGCTCACCCCAAACATCCGTTATGCAGTTCATAGAATCATAGAGTTTTAGAGTTGGAAGGGACCCTGAGGGTCATCTGGACCAACCCCCTGCTATGTCCAATGTGGGGCTCAAACCCACAAACCCTGACATTAAGAGTCTCATGCTTTTACCAACTGAGCTATCCCACCTTTTGATGTTCTACAAGAAGGGGCGAGCTTTTTCAGAAGTAAACTTCACTGCATATTTCAAAATCCATCCCAATGAGTTGCTAGCACATTCCCCATAAAAAACTACTTTGTATAATTTTAGTACCTCAATCAAGACTTTGGAAAGTCACAAAGCAGGAAAGGAAATAAACTTTTTGGGGTCAAATATTTGTGTATGCAGACTTCTGACTTACATAGAACTCTTCCACCAGACAATCTAAAACACTATTTTTCAATATCTGTTTGTATAGGAATATAAACCCCATAGAAATGATGTTACATAACTGAACATCAGGAAGAATGGAGAGGTATCCAAGTACTGGTTATATAGAACCAAGTGGTTGACATGCAGTTCACCCAGACTTGGAAATAAAAACTTGTTCCTCTAGCAAATTGGCTGTTAGAGGTTGATAGTAAACTGCCTTTTCACTCTCTGGAAGTAATGTGCCAAGTGCAGTATAATAAATAAAGTGAGAGGGAAATCTTGAGAGTCTGTAAGCAGGAAGTTGATGCCCATGTTTTGACCAGAGTGGGATTTTTTTCATTTTGTCGTGTCTTGCTGCTGCTTGCTGTCATACACACATGCGCCTGTAAGTTGCTCAAACTCATGGGTGGGTTGGTTGGTTTTTCCATTTTAAACTCTACCTTAGAATTTGAGTAGGTTTGCAAATAAGTCGTGTCTGCTACATTTAAAATTGACTGAGATCCAAATCGGCATGCACATACCTGGGCTTTTTTAACCATCACCCCTCATACCACTGTAGGCGCTCCCTCCATTTCCCTCAGGGGAAAAGCCACTCTGTAGGGTGAGATGCAGAATTAGCACCTGCGCAGGGGTGCCTGGAGAATTTTTGGGTGTCTGTTTTTTAAAAGAATAAGAAGAGGGAAGTAGTCTCCTAAGAAATTCAAGAAAGCATTCTTTTGTTCCACCATGACTCCAAATAACAATTGGCCTCACTGCTATGACAACTTAGAGACTATTGAAGGTTAGTAGTGTTCAGTGTAGATGGAGCTGCTTGGGGTGGTTTTGATTGGAGCTGGATAAGTTCCTGAATGGTTTTTGTTGGAACGTGTCAGCTTGCCTGAATGTTTTCTCGTCATTGTGTCTTGCCTGCTTGCTGTTCAGTGTACAAAAAAAAATGCACAAATTAAATCCTTGCTATTCCCTACATTTTTGGTGGTTGGAAGGGAGGAGCTTGCTGTAATATAAAACCGGTTTTTAATTAACAGTGGGGGAGGGGAGAAATAAACAAGGCAACCTCTTTGGATGTTTTCTCTCTGGTGCAAGAGGTAACTCACATACAGCTGCTGTAAATTGTGCTCTTAAACTGATCAGTGATCACTTTCCATACTTATTGAAGAGCTAAATAATTTTTCTCTGCTAATGAAAAGTAAATGCAGGCCTATTGCTGATGAAAGGTATTAAGCCAAAAGCACTTGGGTTTTTTGGGATGAATTTTCATGCCTTTGCCATTAATTTTGTTACTTTAAAACAAAAAACCTTAAAGTGCATATTTTTTTCTGTCAACTGTGAGCAAATTCCCCTTTTGCCTTTAACAGCAAAACAGTGCATTAAGCAGTCAGTTGCTGCAGAATTGCACATCGAGACCTTTGTAAAACAGTAATGTACCCAGGCGAAAGGGGGAGAAACTTGTGCCAGATGTGTATGCAACTTTCAGTAGCTGCCAAATGTGCCTTTTAAAAAAATATGGGTTCTTTTTTTCTGAAACACGGTAGATTCTCTTATTGGTCGCATTTCTTATTTGGCCAATTTAGAAACCAAACTTTCTGTTTCTCTGTGTACAGGTTTGTGTTTTTGATGAATTCTAATAATTTGTATATTTAAAACGTATTGCCTTTTGTTTAATGGCATGGATACTTTGCTAAAATGGTTGAGAAGCTATGGCAGTCCAATCCAGCTGCGTTAAGGTTGAAGTGGTGATATCCTAAACTGGCAAATCTTATGGGCCTATGTGTGTACCTAATCATGTCTGTAGGTCAGCTTTGTATGCTATGTCTGCAATGGTATTCAGATTGCATTTAAAGTGAAAATTAATAGTGGCTGTTACTTTTTGACATTCAAGAGATCTGTTCATAAAAAATAAATAAAAATGCCTTACATATCCTATAAGTGTTTATCCTTGTATATGTAAAAACTTAGGTCTGTGCGCCTGCTGCATTATTTTAATTTTGTTCCGTGTAGTGTTGTCCTATAAAGATCACCCACAGTTAAGAGTATCTGGGTACCACGCAAAGGTGCAGATGCACTCCTAACACAGGAAGCAAATTTACCACTGCAGAATAATTAAGTGCATAGGATGAGCTAAAGTTATACCATGCTATGCAAGTATTGACAATGTGGTTGCATTCTTCAGTAGTCTCGCTCCATCTGACCTCCAACTTGTTGCTAAACTGAGTATTTTGCTACATTGCTGTTACAGTAACTATTAATACTTAAACAATTGAGGTTAGATAGTCTGCAGGAAAAATGGATTTTTCTGGACATTTAAGCAATTTCTGCCCGGACACTGTTTTGAACTGCCAAATCTCAGCAATGTCTGGGAAAATTCCGAATGTATGGCAATTCTGGTACCGGTATTCATCTGAAATACTTGAATACTTAAGTGTCTACATATGGAGATTCCTCCCACCACCACCCCAGTTATGATTTAGCCTCTTGTAGGCAACACAGCAGAAAAAATTACTTGCAGTTGGTTTTAATAATAGTGGAAGGATAATCCTTTGTACATCCAGTCTCCTGAAATGGCCTGTTTGGTGTTGGACGTGTAAGAAAATACACCTTAGGAATAGCCATTTTCAAATATCTAAAGGGTTGTCACATGGAGGATGGAGCAAGCTTGTTTTCTCCTCCAAAAGGTGGAACCTGAACTAATGGGTTCAAGTTGCAAGAAATAAAATTCTGACTTAACATCAGGAGGATGGTAAGAGCTGTTCAACAGTGGGCAGGCCCCCTCAGAAAGTGGTGAATCCTCTTGGACGTTCTTAAGCAGAGATTGGATGGCCCTCTGTCATGGATGCCTTAGTAGGGTTCCTGCATTGCAAGGGATTGGACTAGATGACCCTTGAGTCCCTTCCAACTCTACAATTCATTGAGAAAGTGTGATTACCAGTTTGTTTATTAATCTGGTACTTGTTACTGCTTTCCTTGGTCAGTTGCACACACTTATCTTCCTAAACATCTGCATGGGATATGAAGACTTTGGACTGTTTCCACTAGATACTTGTATACCTGTAACATAGGAAATTGACAGAAGCTTTTCTTCTTCCCAAGTACTCTTAGACCTGGCTGTAAATCAGGCGTATAACCAAGAATATATAAATTGTAGCATGAGAAGCAGCTTTTAGGCTCATGTTGGGATGCTCAGCAGCGCTTGTTCAAGGTACGGTAATTGTATTCTCAAGCAATACCCTTGGTCTGAATAAGTTTATTTGAAACAAAATAAATACATGCCTAGACTATTAAGAAACCAGTCAACTTCTCCTGGAGTTCCTCTCCCTCTTCTGAATATTCCCCACCACTTTTTAAATAAAATTGATTCTTCTGTGACATCTGTTTAGAAATTCAGATTCCACTGTAGCACCACTTTATATTTTTGGAGAAAGAACAGTGGAAGATCTGTTCTTTCAGCATCAATCCAACTGTATTTTAAAACAACAACAATGTTGCATCATTAAAACGGACTAAGTTGTAAATCAGTTATTGCATGAACTATACACACACTTACTTCCTGGCTACTCTTAAATCTGAGCCGTCCTAGAGATGGCAGCCAGATCCATCTAGGACCATGCAAAGATGTTTCCACATTTTTCTAGCTAATTAAAATGGTTGGGGTGGGTTGTAAAATGATGTAGGAGTTCTTTATAGGTCCCTGTGTCCCACTTCTGTACTAGATGGTTTGTGCTCACCTCCATGATGTCTACTAGGGATGGTCACCTGACATCCCAAAACACATCAGTATACAGCGGTACCTTGGTTCTCAAACGCCTTGGTTCTCAAATGCCGAAAACCTGGAAGTAAGTGTTCCAGTTTTCGAACGTTTTTTGGAAGTCAAACATCCAATGCAGTTGTTGGCTATTGTTTCAGGGGCACCCGCACCAATCAGAAGCTGCGCCTTGGTTTTGAACATTTTGGAAGTCAAATGGACTTCTGGAATGGATTAAGTTTGGTGCTTTTGTTTTTGCTATTTCTTTTGCATTTTTGTTTTTGAGGCTTGTTTGGTTAATTTGTTTTTGTCACTGTGTGGAAACCAGTTCAGCTACTGATTGATTGATTGATTGATTGATTGATTGATTGTGTGACTGCAGAAATGGATAAAAGCAATACAAACAATGACTATCCTCAATGCAGTTAAGAAAAAAATTAATTTTAATTTTTATCCTCTACAATACTGTTTTATTTATTTTATAGTACAGTACATTGATTATTGCTTTCATTTTCTAGATCAATGGTCTTGTTAGATAGTAAAATTCATGTTAAATTGCTGTTTTAGTGTTTGTTTTTAAAAGTCTGGTACGGACTGATCCATTTTGCGTTACTTTCTATGGGAAAGCGTGCCTTGGTTTTGGAATGGACTTCCAGAACGGATTAAGTTTGAGAACCAAGGTACCACTGTACAGCCCTTATATCCTGCCTAATTATAATAAACATGTAGCAAAAGTGAAATAGCACACGTCTGGACTTTGTATGTAGAATGTCCTGATAGAGATTCAGAAATATTGTGACATATACATCAATGACATCATACTACAATCTTCCATAACCATGAGGCCCTTATTGCTTGATGCCAGCAATAAGTTAACTGTTGCGTGAGTGGCAAAATACCGTATTTTTCAGTGTATAAGACTAGGTTTTCCCCTAATAAATTATGTCAAGAATTAGGGGGCATCTTATACACGGATATTGCTGAGGCCATTTTCTTAAATCTGAGATCCCCAAAATAGGGGATGTCTTCTACATGGGGGCATCTTATAGACGGAAAAATACGGTAAGCTTCTGACCCCCCCAGAGTCAGGATAAAATAATAGTTCCTAAAAAATCAGGAGTTGGTTGTTTCTTCTTTTCAAGTGCCAAAAGGCTGGTGTCTTAATTTTAAAATAAGCTACTTTTAAAATCAGATGTGTGTTTCATTTCTTTTTGAACAGCTTGCGGAAGGAACTGCGCAATCTCCCTTTCTGTTCTTGCCTTGGAGTGTGGCTGCTGAAAGAGGTTTGCTCATTGTCATCCCTATGAGAAAATCTGGTGTTGTCTTCTAAATGCATCTCCTGAAATGAAAAAACCAAGAATTTCACAAAGATGTCCCGCAAAAACTATAAATGGCATTAAACAAATACAGATATAACAAACCTTTGTTTACAAGCCCCCATGCCTAAAAGTGGAATGACAAAGGCATCCTTGCCTTTGCACACTTGCCCTTATTTTCAGTTCTGTTTTGCATGGAGTGCTTCAAAAATCTCCAAAACCTATTTGACCACTAAGGGCAACAGGAGCAACAGTGGTGCAAGAAAAAAAAAGGTTTGCTTTTATTTCTTACAACTGCTCCCTTTCTTTTCCCCATGTGAATTACTTCCATTAGCCTCGACAACTACAGGGAGGCAGGCACTAACTGTTTCATGAAAACTGGATGCTGAGAGTCTGCTTCACTCAAGAGCTATTTATATAGTACCTAAAAGTCAGTGCCTGCATTCAGTGTGTCACAACTCAAACATGGCCCCAAAGGCACGGCTATGTAACCAGAGACAGTTTTGCACCACAATGGCTCCAATTGGACTGGGGATTCAAAGCATAGCTGTCAACTTTCAGATCTGAAAATAAGGGATCAGCAGCCTCACCTGTCCCGGGAGGATATTTAACAATCCGGGATAGAAGTGGGAAACGGCGCTGGAATAAGGGAATTTCCCACAAAAAAAGGGAAAGTTGACAGCTATGATTCAAAGTATGCTACACTATTGGGTAATGTATGCTGTGGGGCAGCCTGCTCTATGTTCACATTTTGTTCACAGTAAGAAAGTGGGCTGCTGAGATTTGTATTTTTTTAAGCTTTTCAACCCTGACTTCAAATGTAACAGTTTAAATAAACCATACACCGAGAAATCCACCTGCATCAAATATCTCTAATACTTTGGTGGACTCTCCTGCATTGGAGTTTTCGAAGCAGAGCTATGCGACCCCTGCGCCAACCTTTGGAAGACATCCGAAAGCAACTCTGTACTCTGAAGTTTTTGAATGTTTATTTTTTATATATATGTTGGAAGCTGCCCGGAGTAGCTGGGGCATCCCAGTCTGTTGGGCAGCGTATAAGATAAAAAGATATAAGATAAAAAACAAATAAAATCAAACCTACATACAGCAACAGCGTTTTGTATTGTGTAGACTCAAATCATCATTATAATCATCATTATCATTATTAAATAGGATAACCCTATTTTCATTGAAGAAATGTTGGTGAGTATGTTAAGCTGCCTTGAGTCCCTTTCAGGGAAAAAGGTGGGGCATTAATTAATGACGACGATGATGATGATAATTAATAGGGGACCTTCAGGTCACAGGTCTAACCCATAGCTGTCAACTTTTCCCTTTTCTTGCGAGAAATCCCATTCGGAATAAGGGAATTTCCCTTTTAAAAAGGGAAACGTTGACAGTTATGGTCTAACCCCCGCACTCAGGAGTGCCAGCGTGGCCCCATAAAGGTGGGTGCCTGGGGCCATGGGTGCCATACAGCGTGCCTGGCCCTGGCATCGAAATTTGAATTTTCATGAATTTTGTGGGAACTCAGAGGGCACCCGGGGGGGGTGGGAATGTTGTGGGAACTCGGGGGCCCCTCCTCCTCCTCCTCCCCCGTCGCTTAGACCCTGGCTAGGAAGCGCCTTTGCCCTTGCCTTTTGCTCTCCTTACTTCCAGAAAGCTGGGCTGGTCGCCCGCTCCTCTCGGCGGCGGGAAGTGGTGCCGCTGGGAGCTCCGGGAGGCGGCAGAAGGGGCGCCGTGGGCCGGGAAGCCCCTCTCCGTCGGGGCCGGCAGGCGGCTGCCGCTGCTGCTGCGGGTGCTGTAGAGCCTGGTGCTGGCGATGCCTTCGGTGCCGCCGCCGCCTCCGCCGCTGCTGCGGGGGAACTCCTTGAGCGAGCGGCTCAGCTGCTTGCCTTTGCTGCGGAAAACCTCGCGCTTGTAGGTGCCGCTGGCCGCCGCCGGCGCCGCGCTCTTGGGCAGCGGCTGCAGCGTGCGCTCCGTCCTGCCGGGCTCGTTGGTGAAGTGGACGGGCCTCAGGAAGCAGATGTCGATGCTGGACTCGGACGAGGCCGGCGAGCACGCCTCGAAGGCGGGCAGGTTCCGCAGCGGCTCCACCTCCTCGTAAGGGTCGCCCCGGTACTCGAAGCCCTCGTAGTCCGGCGCGAAGCCGGAGCTGTCCTGCAGGAGGTCCGCCGCCGAGGCCCGCCGCCGGGGCCGCTCGCGGTTGCCGTCGGGGCCCGTCGAGGGAGGGGCGCTGCTGCCGCCGCTGCCGCCGCCGTACTCCAGGTCCGGGAGGGCGTGCAGGGAGGCGGCCAGAGCTTTCAGGTCGTGCTCGCTGAGCTGAGAGGGCGCCAGGCCGTGCTCGGGCCGCCGCCCGTCCGTTTCCCACTCGCAAGGGGAAGCGCCTTGCAGGCCCTCCAGGCCTTGCTGGGGGCTCGCTTTCATGTGGGACCTCGAGTGCCTTGGAAGGGAGACCAAACAGTGTCGGATTTAGGTATAAGCTAAACAAGCCATAGCTTAGCGCCCCACTATCTTGGGGGGCCCCAAAAAAATTGAAGGGAAAAAACAACTGGGTGTACATTTCCAAAATATAAGATAAAAAACAAATAAAAAGCAGTGGTATGTCTAGATGCGAATGGCATCTGTTCCGGAGCACCGTTCACATCCTGAAGCGAACACAATGCGTATGTGTGCGGGTCGTGATTCGTCACTTCCGCGCATGCACGTGACGTCATTCCGAGCTTCTGCACATGCGCGAGCAGCGAATCCCGGAAGTAATACGCTCCGTTACTTCCAGATCGCCGCAGAGCACAACCACAAAAGGCTTAAGCTGAAGCGACTTCAATCCGAGGTATGACTGTAAAACCTACATACAGCAACAGTGTTTAGTGTTGTGTAGACTCCTATGATGTAAGTAATGGGCCCGCCTGCTAGCCTGCTCCCAAAAATATCACTGGTTTGCTCATTTCTATATATTGGGTGCCAACATGTGCAAATGGCTTTAGATATCTATTAGGTCTATTAATTACCATATAGCATATATTCAACACAAAAAACAGCGACAATTTGTTGTTGGCAAAGGACAGCTGGACATATAAAGGGCCCCATTACCTTCAGTAGCTTAGGGCCTCATCAAATCTAAATCTGGCCCTAGACCAAACATAAGCTTTTGAGGAAAGTTTGGAGTGGAAACGCACCAGGTAGCCCCAGTTTTGGGGTCGAGAGCTTGCCCTATTTTATATACTTGGCTGCATTGTGAAAGACACGTCGCAGCAGTTTGCAAGCAACATAGAACAGTGTTTCCCAACCGGTGTTCCGCGGCACACTAGTGTGCCGCCAGACGTTGCCTGGTGTGCCGCGGGAAAAATTGGCGGGGGGGGAATAAAGGGGAAAAAATTATTCCCCCACCGCCAGGCGTGGGGCTGGGGCGGGGGAAGCCCGAGCTTCCCCCTCCCCCAGAACGGGACCCAGAGCCATGCCGAAGCTGCGCGCAGCTTTGGCATCGCTCTGGGAGCTTGCGGGGCTGGGGGAGGAGGAAGCCCTCCGCCAGCCTCCAAACCATGTCAGGAGACAGCGGGATGGCGCGCTGCGCCTCTCCAGCTGTCCCCCGAGTTTGCAGGGCTGGCGATGGGGAGGAGCAGGCTTCTCCCCCCGCCAGCCTTCCAGCCAAGTCGGGGGGCAGCGGCAAGGGCGCGCTGTGCCTCTCCCGCTGTCCCCCGAGTTTGCGGGGCTGGCGATGGGGAGGAGCAGGCTTCTCCCCCCGCCAGCCTTCCAGCCAAGTCGGGGGGCAGCGGCAAGGGCGCGCTGTGCCTCTCCCGCTGTCCCCCGAGTTTGCGGGGCTGGCGATGGGGAGGAGCAGGCTTCTCCCCCCGCCAGCCTTCCAGCCAAGTCGGGGGGCAGCGGCAAGGGCGCGCTGTGCCTCTCCCGCTGTCCCCCGAGTTTGCGGGGCTGGCGATGGGGAGGAGCAGGCTTCTCCCCCCGCCAGCCTTCCAGCCAAGTCGGGGGGCAGCGGCAAGGGCGCGCTGTGCCTCTCCCGCTGTCCCCCGAGTTTGCGGGGCTGGCGATGGGGAGGAGCAGGCTTCTCCCCCCGCCAGCCTTCCAGCCAAGTCGGGGGGCAGCGGCAAGGGCGCGCTGCGCCTCTCCCGCTGTCCCCCGAGTTTGCAGGGCTGGCGATGGGGAGGAGCAGGCTTCTCCCCCCGCCAGCCTTCCAGCCAAGTCGGGGGGCAGCGGCAAGGGCGCGCTGCGCCTCTCCCGCTGTCCCCCGAGTTTGCGGGGCTGGCGATGGGGAGGAGCAGGCTTCTCCCCCCGCCAGCCTTCCAGCCAAGTCGGGGGGCAGCGGCAAGGGCGCGCTGCGCCTCTCCCGCTGTCCCCCGAGTTTGCGGGGCTGGCGATGGGGAGGAGCAGGCTTCTCCCCCCGCCAGCCTTCCAGCCAAGTCGGGGGGCAGCGGCAAGGGCGCGCTGCGCCTCTCCCGCTGTCCCCCGAGTTTGCGGGGCTGGCGATGGGGAGGAGCAGGCTTCTCCCCCCGCCAGCCTTCCAGCCAAGTCGGGGGGCAGCGGCAAGGGCGCGCTGCGCCTCTCCCGCTGTCCCCCGGGTTTGCAGGGCTGGCGATGGGGAGGAGCAGGCTTCTCCCCCCGCCAGCCTTCCAGCCAAGTCGGGGGGCAGCGGCAAGGGCGCGCTGCGCCTCTCCCGCTGTCCCCCAAGTTTGCGGGGCTGGCGATGGGGAGGAGCAGGCTTCTCCCCCCGCCAGCCTTCCAGCCAAGTCGGGGGGCAGCGGCAAGGGCGCGCTGCGCCTCTCCCGCTGTCCCCCGAGTTTGCGGGGCTGGCGATGGGGAGGAGCAGGCTTCTCCCCCCGCCAGCCTTCCAGCCAAGTCGGGGGGCAGCGGCAAGGGCGCGCTGCGCCTCTCCCGCTGTCCCCCGGGTTTGCGGGGCTGGCGATGGGGAGGAGCAGGCTTCTCCCCCCGCCAGCCTTCCAGCCAAGTCGGGGGGCAGCGGCAAGGGCGCGCTGCGCCTCTCCCGCTGTCCCCCGAGTTTGCGGGGCTGGCGATGGGGAGGAGCAGGCTTCTCCCCCCGCCAGCCTTCCAGCCAAGTCGGGGGGCAGCGGCAAGGGCGCGCTGCGCCTCTCCCGCTGTCCCCCGAGTTTGCGGGGCTGGCGATGGGGAGGAGCAGGCTTCTCCCCCCGCCAGCCTTCCAGCCAAGTCGGGGGGCAGCGGCAAGGGCGCGCTGCGCCTCTCCCGCTGTCCCCCGGGTTTGCAGGGCTGGCGATGGGGAGGAGCAGGCTTCTCCCCCCGCCAGCCTTCCAGCCAAGTCGGGGGGCAGCGGCAAGGGCGCGCTGCGCCTCTCCCGCTGTCCCCCAAGTTTGCAGGGCTGGCGATGGGGAGGAGCAGGCTTCTCCCCCCGCCAGCCTTCCAGCCAAGTCGGGGGGCAGCAGCAAGGGCGCGCTGCATTTCTCCGCTGTCCCGGACGGCTTTCGAAAGCCTGCCTTCAAAAGCCGTCGGGGACAGCGGAGAAACGCGCTGCCTTTCTCCGCTCTCCCGGGAAGGCAGGCAGGGGGGAGCAAAGACTTTCGCCCCCGCCCGCCTTCAGAAGAGGTCAAGGACCTTCAAAAGCCATCCGGGACAGCGGAGAAATGCGCTGCCTTTCTCTGCTCTCCCGGGAAGGCAGGCAGGGGGGAGCAAAGACTTTCGCCCCCGCCCACCTTCAGAAGAGGTCCAGGACCTCTTCTGAAGGCGGGCGGGGGGCGAAAATCTTTGTCCCCCCTGCCTGCCTTCCCAGGGGCTTTTAAATCGCCCCGGACAGCGGAGAAGTCCTCCGCTGTCCCGGGCGATTTTAAAATGCCGCCCGCCAGGGCTGCCAAGTGTGGCAGAAGAGGACACGGCCGTTGCACCTGTCCTTAGGTAGAAGCTTCTTCCGTGTCGACCTGCTGCCCTAAAGTCTTGGCTTTTTTCTTGGCTTTTTGGCGGTTGGCACAGAAGGAAGGCAAGGAGGAGGGGAAAAAATTGAAACTTACACTTTCGTGCGTCCCTCCCGGCGTGACGCTGCGCGCTGACGTCACGGGGCTGTAATGGTGGTGTGCCTCGAGATTTTTTTCATGAAACAAGTGTGCCTTTGCCCAAAAAAGGTTGGGAAACACTGACATAGAACAATATGGGAGCACCCTAGTCGTCAAGTGGTTTACAGGTAACTAAGCAAGAACCCCAACATTCTGGTCTTCAATGTTATGGGTGAGCGCCAATGTTAGTCATCCTCAGAGCAGACCCTTTGATTTCAGTGTGTCTACTCTCAAGTCCATCCTTAATCTGGCTCTATCCAAAGTGCTTCTCAGCACTGCCAGAGTAAACCTCCCTTGCACTCTGCCAGCCTTCGGAACAACAGCCCCCCCCCCAAAAAAATTTCTGGCTATTCCTTTTATGAATAGTTTTGGATAGGTACCTACCTCAGCCTGAGCTATTAGAACTACGAAGAGAAGTGGATGCAGTAATCATTAAATACATACGATTCTGCTGAAATTATGTGAAGTACTGTAAAACAATAAAGACAAGAGGAGTCCTAAAAGTGACCAACAGCCAACTGAGGGAACTGGATAAGTGCCCTTCCACAGCTGGGGAGGAAGGGAACTTATGCTGTCAGGGCTGCCCTGTTTCACTCACTGAAAGACCCACAGCCACAGGCAATGGTGGTCTGGCCAGCAGTTGTTAAGGGCAGTGGAGAATCTTTAGGATCCAAAGCCCTCTGGTTCTTTCTCCCTTGCAAAATACACCCTCAATTATTCCAGCCCTGGTGTACTGACTGCAATGGGAAAGGGAATGGAAGGAAAGAAGCAAAAGGCCTGGAGCAAAAAGCTGCCCCACACACAGCGACCACAGTGTGGTGTAGCGACCGACAGTGTTGGTCTAGGACTGTGGGAAACCTGGATTCAGATCTCCTCTTGGGCCAGTCACAGAATCTCAGCCTCATCTAAGCCATGGGATTGCTGTGAGGATAAACTGTGGGGAGCGGGGGGAGAACCATGCACCACCACCACCACCACGAGCTCCTTGAAGGAAAGGTGGGATATCAGTGTAATAATTATAAGAGCATTGCACTCACATGGCCGTTGTTCCAGAAGTTGGGGCTGATGGGAACAGCTGCATGGCCTCTTCAGAGTGGATTCCACTGTCGCGGATGGAAGTAGCACTAAGCGTTGGAGACGCATCTTGGCCAGCGCTGGCGCATAGAGAAGCTAGACCTTTGTATAACTTTCCGAAGGAAGATCTAGTGGAATCAAGATATAATACCACCCTCAGTCAAACAATGAGGACCAGCTTTTACAAACGGCAGCCTGTTATTTCCACATTCATTGCAGCAGCAGATCATTTCAGTCATACTTGCGATGTATTGTTTCTACAGCTTTGTGATGTAATACCACAAATTTGGTTTGGGGCACACATTCAGCTTGTGAGAACTTCATTTTTCATTGACCAATTAGAAACATATTCCTAGGCCTCATGGCTATGGGGTTACATTTTTAAAAAGCCAAAAATCTGAAGCACTAGGGCCGACAATTCACTTGAGGAAATAAATTGTTTGCATTTTATGCACATATTTACTTACAATACATAAAGACTTTAAAACTTTCACAGAACTTCAGTGTATACATGGCTTTAAAGGATTGAACGGCTGACAGGTAGTTAGTTAGCTGCTCCATCAGGCCATTTCAAAGGGTCTTAATCGTGAGCCAAATTCCATACAACACTTCAGCAGTGTATTATACCTCCTATATGAGTATATGTTTCAAGCCAAAGAAATATACTGCTTTCTGAGGGTGGCCCAAACAACAACAAACAAACCTCCATCTGCCCCATAGAAGTTAATGAAAAGCGAGATATGTTCTTAAAACAGCTTTTAGGGCACTGAGAAAGGTGCAAGAAGCAACTTCTTCAAGGAACGGACTCATTCTGGTGTTGAAAGCTTGCTCTGAAAGTCATAGGCCATGTGTTCCTCAAGGAATAAACAGGGACAGAAAGTGTCAGTGCCTGGTGAACCTCTCTGTTCCCAAACCTGTGATTTCCCAAACCTTGCTCATGCAAGGAGGGACAGTTGCAAGGGAGAAGGAGCAGAAACAAGGTCCAACCATTCTTTTCATGTGGTCCCACCCATCCAGGCCATTTCTGATATCTCTCAATCTCTCTCACACACACCCCTGGACCAGAAGTGATCCATAGCTGAGGGATAAATGATCAGGGAGGGAGGGGTGGGTGGGTGGAGGAGGGAGGGAGGACACATACTCCAACTTTTCTTAGAGCAGAACTTGGCTCTTCTTTGCCTGCACCTAATCAAAATAGAAGGAAGCAGCCCCTTTTCACTCACTTTCTCAGCTTCTTCCGCTTCTGTATCAGCAGGTCTTCGTTGCACTGGAAAAGAAGGCTGTGGTGCGAGATGAACACTCGCAGGCGCTGTACACTAACCAGAAGGAGGTAGTAATCAGGGTGCTCTTGCTCCGTGTACTTCAGGATATTCTGGCACAGAAGGAGGAGAGCCACACTGAATCACATCCTCCTCTCTGCCCATTTAGTAAAACAACATGAAACATCCTGAACGCTCTACACCAGGGCCTGTGCATGGCCGTACAAAGGGTGCTGCAGTACTTTGGAAGGTTCTAATCATTGACTCATCCTTGTCACTAGGGAGTGCCTTCTACCAGCTTCAGCTGGTACACCAGATGTGGCCATTTGTGAACAGAGATAATGTGGCCACAATCGTCCATGCCCTGGTAACCTCAATATTTTAGCACTGAAATGCACTCTACATGGGGTTGCCTTTGAAGTTATTCCCAAAGTTGTGGTTAGTAAAAAACAACTGCTCTAAGACTGCTGTGCAGAGCTCAATGTCATCATCGTTTATAGTCAAAACAAAATTTTAAAAAATCCTTCCAGTAGCACCTTAGAGACCAACTAAGTTTGTTATTGGTATGAGCTATTGGTATCTGAACAAGTGTGCATGCACACGAAAGCTCATACCAATAACAAACTTAGTTGGGGACGCGGGTGGCGCTGTGGGTTAAAGCCTCAGCGCCTAGGGCTTGCCGATCGAAAGGTCGGCGGTTTGAATCCCCGCGGCGGGGTGCGCTCCCGTTGCTCGGTCCCAGCGCCTGCCCACCTAGCAGTTTGAAAGCACCCCCGGGTGCAAATAGATAAATAGGGACCGCTTACTAGCGGGAAGGCAAACGGCGTTTCCGTGTGCTGCGCTGGCTCGCCAGATGCAGCGATGTCACGCTGGCCACGTGACCCGGAAGTGTCTGCGGACAGCGCTGGCTCCCGACCTATAGAGTGAGATGGGCGCACTGTTGGTGTAAAGCAGAGTCCCGTGCCCAGCGGAAGGATGAGGAGTACGTACTACATACTCTATATTGCTTTATTTACAGTTCAAAGCTGGTATATTACAGAAAGACATCTTGCCTCTGCCGGAGCAGGAAATGCATCCTCTCTCCTCGACAGCTCGGAGAGAATCACACAGTGAAACTGCAAAGAACAGTGAAAAACAGGAAACCAGTGTACGTCACATCCAGTCTCCCTTTCCCGTGAGAAACTCCAACAGTACAGACTGTGGAATGTAAACACCTGTCTCGTGACAAGCCCTTTCGCTGCACAGTGAAGGAAAGCAGAAACCAACACGCACAACCCTAGAGTCTGTCAAGACTGGCCCGTATGGGCAGGGGTACCTTTACCTTTACCTTTAAGGTGCTACCAGAAGGAATTTTTTAAATTTTGTTTCGACTACGGCAGACCAACATGGCTACCTACCTGTAACTAGAATCGTTTATAGTGTTAGGCATGTTGGAGAACTTGAATGAAAACTGAAATATGTTGCTGGTGTTTGCACCCATGTCCAGAATGGAAATATAGCAAATACAATTGGCATGCACTATTGTTGTTGTGTTCAGTCTCCAAACAATATATAATTTAATATTTTCTTTTTAAAAATGCTTTGCACTTCCTTTGCATTATATAACGATAGCAGAATTAAGTACATAATTATGTAAAATTTTGCCAAAGTGGAAATTAGATTAATAACATAGTTAACATAGCTTTTTTGTCAGAAGCCAAGCTGCAGCAGAACAGAAACAGCGCTGCAATGCAATGGTTCTGGAGCAGGACAGAAACTGATGTCGTCTTATATTCCTAACACTGATCCTCATTAGATCTTACCTGTAAATGAAGGAGGTATTCAGGAACACGCTGGACAATATGAAAGAAGAATATGTAAATATCAGACTTAATTTCTTCCTCAATCTGTTGACAAGAGAAGATAAAGAAGAGGTCATTTGTACTGAAATGTTTATATACCACCATTTATAAGAACATCTCAAGGCAGTTTACAATAAAATGCATTTAAAATGCAATAAAACAAACATTAAAATAGATTCGGCAGCATAAATATAGTCCAGAGTGAAACACAAGGGTTAAGAGTGCTTAAGTCAGTTAATCTCACGGCTTGGTATCCAACTAATGTGTCCTGTCAGCGCAAAGAAAAGAGGAAAGACCCTCTTTACAGAATCTCTGTATGGGTCTGGATCAACATCAACATGACTAATAATCTGCTCAAAGCACACAGATGTGTCAGTGGTTCAAGACGCACCCAAACTCACCTCCTTCACAATCACCACATGGATCAGTGAAATGCACTCAGGCAAGTCTCTCAAGCAAGAAACGTAATAATCCAAAAAACCGTTCTGAAAAGCAAATAAGAAACATCTCTTGAGAATCCTTATGTGTGTGACAGAGACACGGGCCCCCTGATTCTACCTGACTCTGTTTGATTAACACGGACCAAGGCAGCGATTCAGCACCGAAATGCCCCGAGGCAAAATCATTGATCTTTTCCACAAAAGGTGGAATTCTTCAATATTAACCCGTCTCTCCCCCCCCCCCAAAGCATCTAAAAACAACTGCAAGAAATAATATAGAATCCACATTTCTCTGACCTGTTGGACACCTCAGCATTAGGCTCTAAAGTTATAAGCTTGTTTGAGGGAAAAGTAGATTAGATTAGATATGATAAGATATGATAATGTAATGTGCTTAGTTCTTGAGGGAGGGGCGGTGTAATGGGAATTAGGGTTGCTTGTGCGTAAATCCCAAACTGCTCCGAGCTGGTAGTATAGCTGGACCTTTCCCCGGTTTGACAGCCCTAAAACGCGACTGTCTCAGTCACTGGCAGAATCCGTCAGTGGGCGTTTCCTAAATTTCCTCCAACATAAGAATTCCTTAACAGACAACCTCCTCCTCGCCTCTCTGCACGGAAGCCTTCTGCGCAGAGTGGGCGTGCCAAGCGGTGGTCCTGCACTCTCCTCACTGACCTCACTGGAAGAGTCTCGGAGCCTCCCCTCCGAAGTACTCTCAGCCTCTCCTTTCTTCCTGGTGTCACCTTGGCTTCCTTCCCCAGCGGAAGCTCTCTCTCTCCCCTCTCTTCCCTCTCCGGCATCATTAGGGAGCCTAACCTCTCCACTCGGCTCCGATGTCAGTTCCCTGACAGGCGGCATACATGTACAATTCATTCCGCTGGTCCAAAATGGCCCAGTTACTGTACTTCAACAATGCATTCCTCTCCTGTTCCCCATATTTTTTCCTCACACTTGTACCTCATCGTTGGTTAGCTTGAGAAAGATGTCTCCCAGGATTCCTTGCCGCGGCCAGCTCAGGACTCTCTCCTGCAGGGCATGAAGTAAGTCCACATGCTGCTGGACCAAGTATCGAAGAGAATTGGGGACAAAACTGCAGCCAGGAAACAGCGGGAACGGCATTTTAAAGAGCCATTAACAAACAGAAGAAATGCACTTAAAAACACTACCCAGCCTGCTAAATATACACATGGCCGAAGCCGTGAGAAGGTATTCGAGAGACAATTCAAGGTACTGATTTTGACTTAACAATGAAGCAGACTTGATGTTGGGATGCAGGAATCTGATGGGACCTCCCAACTTTTGTTTTCTTTCTTTTTTTAATAATTTTTATTGAATGGTTTTATGTTACAAAAAACAATACAGCCATACTACCACTAAATATAATTAAGAAATAAAAATTAATACATCGATATTTAGTTTGTTATTTGTTATTTACCGTCTTATTTCCTCCTAAACATTGCATACAACAATACACATATGTGCAGACACCCACACCCGCACAGAAAATGATAATGAAAGTAAATATTTTCCCCCTTTTATCTTCCAAAATCTTTTCTTCAACTTTGACTTCCTGTCAAGTCCCTTTGCATATGTTTTATCTTACATTTGAATGTACACAAAACAATAAACCCTTCTATATAATTTTTCTAATACATTCTGAAAACATAATAAATCCTTAATTGTAGTCCACCTCCTTTTAGTTCCTTTATCACTCGAATGCTAGCATGGAGTCAAAACTATTCCAACTTTCGTTTTCTCACAACGTTGTAGACCCCTCCAGCTACTTTAAATTGGAGCAGTGGCACTGGTATTTAATCCTCTGCCCACCCCCACATCACTTTCCTGACCTATACCCTCTTGGAGTGGTATTATACCTTCAGCAGAAAAAAAACCCTTCAGCGGAAACCTTCAGCAGAAAAAACAACTATTCCAGATGAGATCTGACTAGGGATGGATAAATTTGTTCATTTCAGTCCTTTTAAGGTTCTGATTTTCTCCACGTTTCTGCAGTGGAATGACTTCCCCTCAGGTATGTGTGTCATAACTCATGGTGGCTGTTTCACCCTCAACTGTGGGTCTAATAGTGGTCACAATGGACCTGAGCAGGACAAGTCTGGATAGTGGCTGTTGAGCAGGAGGCATGGTTTTCAGCCACCTGAAGCCACTGTAGACCAGTGTTTCCCAACCTTTTTTGGGCAAAGGCACACTTGTTTCATGAAAAAAATCTCGAGGCACACCACCATGCCAGATGGGGAAAGGTCACTTTTTACTTATGTAAAAAAAAATAAAAAAATAGTAACAGCATAGAAGGTAATGGTTAGGCTAGCATCCCTCTTCCAAATATGCTAGGTTTTTATTTGCAGGGACTGTTCTATATATATAGATCAAGACATCTGCTGTCAAAGAAAAGGATAACGGTAACAAGATTTTTCGAAAACAGCACATGTTTGAAATTGTTCCCTGATGAGTTTACGACAGCTGAGATAAGATTTACTTGTAAACCAAAGGAGGAGAGAGGACACTCAAAAGACAAACTGGAACATACTGAGCAAGGGCCCTTGAAACTAAGACAGGAGATGAGATTGCCTAATGAGGGGATGGATAACTTCTATCCAGAAGAAAAGGCATTAATAAATCAGTTTGGATTGTTGCCTTTCCTTGCCCAATCTGAGATCTTGAGAAGATTGGAGACCCTTAGAAATAAGTTAACAGAGATGAATGCTCAGGAAAAAGTAAGAGAGAAAGAACCGGCAACGGACCAATTGAAGAAAGAGAATCTCTCTGAAAAAGCCAAGACAGACCCCATGAAAGATTACTCTTATAATACCTCTACAATTGCGGAGATAAACCTGACAGCAACAGATCTAACACAGTGCGTAAGGGACAGCAACAATCTACCATCTAAGAAGGAAACCATCCCTATGACAACCACAACGCGCTCCTGGACCAGCATGAGATACCTGGATGAGGATGAACTTGGCATCAGTCAAATAGAACACCTCAAGGTAGATTCGCCAAAAAAAGGAGTACTGATCACTAATGTTAGCACGCTGCACCCTTCAACTGATTCCATTGAGTACCTGGGCGATAATACATCTATGGACATTGCCAAAATGAATGAAATTCAACCAACAGATAAAAAGATAGGCCCAAAAAATCTTTTAAAGGCAAATTGACTAAGATCAATTTTTGGCAAGACAACGTGCAACCTTGCCTTGCTAACTTGGAATATTGCAGGTTGGCAAAAGAGGGTTTCTGACCAATCCTTTGCTAAATATATCCAGAGACATGACATTGCGTTTCTCCAGGAGACCTGGAGCACAAGTGAAGTGGAGTTAAATGGTTTTTCTGCGTTCTCCCTCCCAGGTCTTTTAAGTACTAGAGGGGGGCGAGTTAAAGGTGGGCTAGTCACTTTAATCTCAACAAGGCTAAGGGCCACATTTAAAAAACTAGACCCACTAGACCATCTGGCCACAGCTGTGCAAGTACAGTGGAGAACCCACAGCTGGCTGCTGATTAATGTATACCTACCCCCACAAAGAGAGAAAAGATTGATAAGAAATACTTGGGCTCAGTTAGAACAGTATCTTGACAAACTACTAAATCAATTTCCTGATGCCTCTGTAGTGGTGGCAGGCGACCTAAATGCCAGAACTGGACAATCTGATGAGGCTTTGTGTGCCCATTTCCACGAAACAGTCCCCATTATAGAGGAAACCCACCCAATACCAGCTAGAATCTCAAAGGATAAAGGCTGCAATTATGCCGGCTTATGCTTACTACACTTGGTCAATAAGTTGGACTTGGTTATACTAAATGGCCGTACAGAGGGGGAGAAGGTCGGAGAATTCACATTTATATCTAACAATGGCGCCTCCACAATTGATTATATAATCGTGTCGTATGATCTTCAAAACAAAGTTCTGGAATGCAAAGTGGAGGAGCGCTTAGACAGTGACCATCTGCCATTAAGTGCACTCGTAGCTGCGGGAAAGGATTTATCCTGCGCTGAAAAAATCGAGCATTCGAGCCCTACAGCTTTGGAGCTCAGATATTCGCGCATTAGATGGACAGATGAACTGCATAAGGAAATTTCAAGTAGGCTATGCTCAAAGGAATTCCTCACTAAGAGAGAAAACCTTATAACTTCCTCAAGCCATGAATTAAAGATAAATTTATTTCAGGAGTTAATTTTACTCCTTCAAGATTCCCTGAAGGAAAAAAGGAACAGGCCAAGTAGGCAATCCTCAGCATATAAAAACTCCAAACCCTGGTTTGATCAAGAATGTCAGGATATGAAGCTAAATTTACTGAAAAAATACAAGAATTATAGATCTGCCAAACTACCCCAACTCCCCCCGGGCTGGTTTGAAGATAAACGAAATTATAAAATTTTGATCAAAAACAAAAAACTCCTGGCACAGAAAAGAGAATGGAAATGCCTAATAGATGCATCCAGAGAGAGAGATTCGGCCACCTTCTGGAGACTGGTAGCAAATGGAGTGCGATCTACTTCCTCAGAAGTGGAGTATACTATACCTGCAGGGACTTGGGAGGCATTTTTCCAATCTTCATATTCAGCTCTGCCTTTGACACAGCCACTAATACAGTGTGCGGCAGGTGATGAGTGGCCTCCGGTGTCGGTCGCGGAGATTAGGAGGCTTATTCAGGCACTCAAACACAGAAAAGCCCCGGGAGCAGATAACATCTCTCCTGAACTTCTCAAAGCCAATATTGACTGGTGGGCCCCAGTCCTTGCCACCCTTTTCACCAGCATAGATCAAACAGCAATAATACCAGAGGACTGGGGATTGGCAATCATCGTTCCCATATTCAAGAAAGGCTGTAAACTTGATCCAGCCAATTACAGACCAATCAGTCTTTTAAGCATCATCAGCAAACTTTATGCAACTCACTTACGTGAAAAGTTTGCGGACTGGCTGGAACAGGAGCACATCCTAAAGGAAGCCCAGGCTGGTTTCAGGGCACATAGATCAACTCTAGACCAAGGATTGGTATTGCAACATCTAGTGGAGAAATACACCTCAAAGAAAGGAGGCTCTCTCTATGTAGCCTTTATAGATTTCAAATCAGCCTTCGACTCGATACCCCGGCACAGACTTTGGGAAAAACTAAATGTCACAAACATCGATAGACGTCTTTTGCTTCTTATCCGTAGACTACATGAAAATACTCGGATCCGTGTTAGATGCGACCGTTATGGGAACCTATCAAAGGAAATCCAAAGTTCCCATGGTGTCAAGCAAGGCTGTGTTCTTGCCCCTATTCTTTTTAACTTCTATATAAACTCCTTAGTCGGAAAGATGGAGGAAGCAAGTACTCATTCCCCAAATCTAAATAATACACCAATCCCGGTCCTTTTGTACGCAGATGATGCGGCACTTATTTCCTTCTCTTGTGTGGGTCTAAGGAAACTTTTACGAGCTCTTACAGAGTATTGCGAAGCTGAACACCTAATAATAAATTACACTAAATCAAAAATTATGGTGTTCTCCAAGAGAAAACTCCGACATAAATGGAAAATTAATAACCAACCTATTGAGCAAGTAACATCTTTTAGATATCTTGGAATAATTTTTGATGAGAAGGGATCTTGGTGCCATCAGATAAAGAATTCCATTGTAAATGCGCAAAGATCTTCCAGAGCTATCATAAGATTCTTTTACAGAAAAGGAGGTCAATATGTTCCTGCTGCCTCCCAGGTCTTTGTTGCAAAAATACTTCCACAATTGATGTATGGCACCCAGATATTTAATTGTCAAAAACTCAAGTCCCTGGAATCTGTACAAACTAAATTTTATCGTTCCCTACTAGGGTTACCTACCTGTGTCTCTAACACTGCCATTAGGCTGGAGGTAGGCCAACTCCCTATTAATGCCAGGATATGGATCCTGAAGATTCACTTCTGGCTAAAACTCATATTTTTCCCAGTGGGAGTGGCTCCATTGACTCTACTAGACCCGTTCCAGTCTAAATGGAGATTGTCGCTTTATGAAAAATTGAGGGGCCTGGGGCTTTCCCCACAAGAACTCATAGCCTCAGGCTTTGAAAAGGCTAAAATGATGGTGAGCCAGCGAATAGGAGACGTAGAGCTTCAGGACCATATGAGCAAGATAGATAAATATCCAGCTATCCAAGATTATGAAAAAGGGTTTAATCTAACCCCATATTTGCTGGACCTACAAATCGCAAAATATAGGCGGGCGTTTACCCTTACCAGATTTGATGTATTGCCATCTGCCTTACTAAAGGGCAGATACGAGGGCACACCCTATGCTGAACGAGTTTGCCCATGTGGTCTGAAGGAGGTGGAAACGGCTTCACATGTGTTGTTACACTGCGACCTTTACGGGGATATCAGGTTACTGTTTATCTCCCCTATCGTTCAGAAATTTCCAGGTCGATCTGAATCTCAGCGGCTGAAAATCCTACTAGGAGATAAAAACCCAGAAGTAACACTGAAAGTGGCCAAGTTTTCTGCGGCCGCGATCAAGCGGAGGGCATTAGCTGTAAAAAAGTAAAAGATCTGACCCCTGGATAAGCCCCCCCCCTTTTTTAAGCCCATACATATACTGTAGTGCATATATGAGTATGTATATGTGCGTGTGTGTGGGTGTGGGTGTATATGTATATTGTTTTTATGTATAATTTTACAACTTTTAATTGACACCATCATTCCATTGTAAATTATTGCTGCCTTTTATGTTTTTTTTTTTCTTTTCTTCTGGTCTATGACCGTAATAAATTTATTCATTCATTCATTTTATTTGCAGGGACTGTTCTACACGGGAAAGCATTCAGCACTGTCATTCTCCCATCTGCCATCTGAATTGGTACTATTCTGGGTCAACTTACTCTGCTGCATGTGTAGATGAAAATGGCACCAAGTGTGGGGGAGGGGGCAGAACAGGTTTCAGATACAGGATATTAAGCATACACGTACTTCAGATTGAACTGGTTGCTTGCTTTGCAAGTTTTCATTTCCCAAATGACTGCCTTGGCAAGCGCAATACCTACCAGGCTCAACGCCGGTCTCGCGCTGCCGCTTCCCGCACTCTCAAGGACCCGGGAGGAGGAAGGCGTGAAGGGAATCCCGAAGGCGCGAAAACCTCGCGCATGCGCAGGCCTTCCGCCTGCGACAGCCCAGTAGGCCGGCCGAAGCGAGCGGTGATGGGATGTGGGAGGGAGCTCGCTCGCCGCCCCGCGTGTGCCTATGTGGGGCACGTTACAGCCCCGTGACGTCAGCGCCACGCAGGCAGCCAGGCAGGCAGACGGTGAGAGCCCCGCGCTGGGCGGCCTCTCCTCGCCGCCGCCGCCCCGCCTCTCGCCGCCTGACTCGCCCGCCTCCCTCCAGGCAACATCTCGCGGCACACCAGGCAACGTCTCGCGGCACACTAGTGTGCCGCGGAACACCGGTTGGGAAACACTGCTGTAGACAATGCCTGCTGAAGCAGCTGGAGATGATCTCTGTGTCTGAAGAGGACAAAGGGCGCTCCATTATCAAAAAGAGAACATGACCAGGTAAAGCAGCAAACGGATGCCTGGTTTATGAAGGCAAGAACAAAGTTGAATGGAAAGGGAAGGGAAGGATGGAAAGAGGAAAGGGCAGCAGGGATCCAAAACAGCAGCTGGCACATTTAAAGAAAAGCATCGTTGCCCAACAGTAAGTACAATTAGTAAATACCTTCTATCTTTGGAGTTCCTTTTCACGTCCTGCCCATACAACGTGGCTTTAATTTTGAGGATCTGGGTGAGGTTCACAACATACTTCCTTTCTGACTCAAGTAAGTCCAAAGCAATATTCTGCCTTTTAGCTTTGGAGAAACAAGGTGAAAATGATTTGCTGTTTCAAACGGGTTATTAATTACGTATTGTGATTATGCACTCATATCTAGACAGGGTGTCATTCCAAGAAGAAAAAACCGAGCAAGCAGAAAACGAAGACCAAATTCCTTTATCAGTGACTCAGGGGCCAAATGTAGGCTTCCAGGCTGACTATGCCCATGCCAGACCCCTCCTCAGCCCTGCTCTGCACCCTCCTTGATTGCTTTTGCCTGGCTGGAATTTGCCTTTGCGATAATGCTCAGAAAGAGGGAAATAATTCCAAAGGAATGTGACTGCAGAGTAACGTTTTCACTGCTTCTTGCACTGAAGTACCACCAGCTTGGTAGCGCCGTAAGAAGTCAGGCGCCATTAGGCTAGATTTCAAATGAACCCTGAGTTCAGAAGCTACTGCAAGGATTAGCCATTTCAAATCCTGCTCTATAGATTACAGCAATGATTTATTCAAATTCCTCAATAGTATCTAGACTAAGGGTAGCTCACCGGTGCTCCAACAGATATTGTTGGGCTGGTAGGAGTTTTGTAGTCTAGCAATGAAGGGGGGCCACAGGTTCCTCGTCCCTCCTCTATAGCCTTTTTGCTTTCTAGCCACTACCTTTATTCTCACCTGCAATAGACGGTTCTCGCATTGCATTCTCCATTGAGCTATAGCTACTGGGACCTAGCTCCTTCTGCCTGTCACTCTGGTCCTTTGAAATATGTTCGCCGGCCCAGTCTTTACTGTCCTTGGGCTGCTTCCACACTGTGGATGATGATTGGCCCTTTGGCTGAGCATCAGCAGACGAGGAAGATCTGAGGTTCTCTTCCGTCTCCAGATTTGTACCGGTTAACCCTAGGAATTAGAACAGGTGGTCAGCAGGACCAACAGGCGCGTCCTTAATGGCCACTTGGCCCATCAGGCTGGTCGAAAACTCATAGCAAAAGACGCTGGACTGCTGCGTGATGGCTCTGAAACCAGTGGGCTCAATCGGAGCAAAATGGTGACTAGTCATTGTGACGTTAACATATATGAGAGAGTGCTGGAGGGGAAATAGTTAAATAGGTTGCACAGACAGGACCCAGGGGGGTGGAGTCAGTGGGTCTATAAAACTAGTTCTGGGAGGAGTTAGTTGGGAGTTGTTGGTGGGCAGTTGGTTGGTTTAGTGGGTTGGCTGGTTGGGAAAGGCAGTTGGAGAAGCAGTTGGTAATAGAGAGACAGTTAGGGCAGTGGGTTCTTGTGTGTGGGGAGGTAGAAGAGGTAGAGAGAGGAAAATAAGACTAGGAAGGACCTGGTTGGTGGCAGCGGATTAGTGGTGTACGGGTCAATAGTCTGCGAGACGACTGGGGGCTCTGTACAAACGCCACAGTCATGCTCTCCCCTCCATTGTTGGAAGCCAAATGACTCTGTGTATACCAGCTGGGGGGAATCAAAAGTGGGGAGGGTGCTGTTGCACTCTTGTCCTGCTTACAGGCTTTCCAATGGATATCTGGTTGTCCGACATAAGAGACAGGATGCTGGGCTAGAGAGGCCTTTGGTCTAATCCAGCAAAGCTCTTCTTGTGTTCTTATGTGTGCCAGAAGAGCTTAAAAGAGAAAGGAGCAATCTGGACGTAGCTTAGGAACGAGAGCAGGAGGTCATAGGAAATTGAAATTGAAATACTTGATTGTCACTTGTACAACTTGTATACAGTGAGATTACACGATCACCCCCCCACTCAGCTCTCTTAGTCTTAATTCCCCTCGTTTACTGACGCACACCCACCAAACCCAAAAGTCAGTTGCCCTTGTTGTTATCTTTTCATTCAGCAGCCTAACAGCCCATAGATAGAAGCTGTTCTTTACCCTGTTGCTTCTATATCTTCTGCCTGAGGGCAGGAGATCAAGAAAGTGCCGGCCAGGGTGTGAATCACCCCTGAAAATTTTCCTCACTCTCCTGAGGCAACGTTCTTCCGCTATTTCATCCAGCGGATTCACGGGACAGCCCATAATATCTTGTGCTGTATTCACCACCCTCTGTAGGCACTTCCTATCAGATGATGTCAAACCAGCGTACCACACCGTGATGCAGTATGAAAGGAATATGGTGAATGGTTCTAGAGCTCCACTGCCACATCTTGTGGTAGTGAGTTCCACAAGTCAATAAAGGACCCTTTGAAATCACCTTGCCATTACATGTCTCTTAATAATTGGTAACAGTGGAGCGGCAGGGTGGCCTTCTGGCAGCTGCATTGCGTTCACCATGACAGGGAGAGGGGAGGGCAGGGTGATGACAAGGGCAGGGGAGCTCTGGGTGGGCAGAGTTGCTCCCCTGCAGGTGTGTTGCTGCACCTGCAGCATACTGGTGCTGCCAACCCAGCGCTCCCCCAACCTCACCACTGCCCTGTGCCCCCATTCTGGAGAATGCTGTGCTCCCTCCTCAAGTACCACTTGCTGGTAAGGAATACCGCCAAACAGGGAATATTTGGGAGCAGAAACTGATTAACAACAAAAACCACCACCCCCCAAGTGCACCAACCTTTCATGCTGCCTTCTCCTAGTCCCATGGGCCTGCAGTCAGAGACTAAGCAAGAACAGGAGAAATTTTAGTTATTTGTAAAGGAAGATGAGTAAAGCAAGCTTCACCTAGAGATCTAAAGTCAAACATTGAGGAAAGTGCTTTGAGGGTGTCTAGTTTTTTAAAAATTTAAGGCACTGCGGGGGGGGGCAAGGGTGGTTTTTTTTAATGTAGTCTATCCATCTGACTGATAGCTCAGTCAGTAGAGCATGAGACTTTTAATCTTAGGGTTGTGGGTTCAAACCCCACATTGGGCAAAGAGATTTCTGCATTGCAGGGGGTTGGACTTGATGATCCTTATGGTCCCTTCCAACTCTATTTTTCTATGATCCTAAGATCATCTGTGGTTGCTTCCAAATAAGCCATTTTTTCTCAGGATTTTTTTTTTTTACATAATGTGTTTGCTCAAATTTTACAGAGGATTCCGTGCTGCTTCCAGGAAGGTCATTCCTACCACTGCTGAATCGTTGTCTTTCCCTTATAAACAACAATATATTGTCCCTTCTCTGTGTACAACCTGGTATTTTCTGTCCAATCAGTAGCCATTCACTGTAACCCATGAGGTGGGTGTCCCTTTATAACCCCATTTTTAGTTTTTCAATGGACTCCTTAATTATCCCTAACACAATGGACTCCTTAATTATCCCTAACATTTCTGTCTCTGTTTCAATGAAAGCTAGTTAAAGCACAATAGCAGGAGTTGCCAAACCTTTGCCCCACAGAAACATTTGTAAATGGGAAAAACCATTCTGGGCCCTGCACCATCTGAGGAAGACACCTTTACCTGCTGAATGGCAAGGTAGGATCTCATGAAAGTGAAACATCTCAGGTGGGGAGAGGGAGAAGGTGTTAAGCTGCCTTGAGCATACAGGATAGGGTAGGGTAGGGTCAATCAAACAAAATATCTACCTTTCTCATACGTTGCGTTATGCAACAGCTTTACAAAATCTTCATTAATCAAAACTGGCTCCGGAAGGTTTAGTGATCGAAAGGGACTTCCTTGAAGAGGTGTAGGGACTGTTTGTGACCCATGCTCCTCCTTCTGTATTCTTCTGAGGCAAAAATAAAAGCAAGACTACCAGAGCATACACTTGGGAGACACACATTTGTTTTAAGGCATAAAAATTTACAAAAGTTAAATGTAAAAACAAATAAGATATCTCTTGTTTCAAACACACTGTCACAATCTTACGTAGTATATTGAAACTAGAATTCTATGAGTAGGTCACGAAGAGGGGAAAACATAGCAAGGGCAGAGCACAGCTTGTTTCTGACACATTAGCATAAGAGAGGTAAGAAAATAAGGGAAATAATCAAGCAGAGGCTGGGTACTTCTTTCCTTTTCTTGGCTGGGGCTACTACTTCATGCTAGCAGTTTTAGTTATAATACCTCTTTGCAAGACTGTTTGCATTTCTAATTAAAAGCTAAATGTTGTGTTTCTGCTGGTTGAAGATCTTTTGCTAAAGCCCAATGCATTTTACAACTTGAATTTATTATATAAACATCTATTCCTTCACTGTCAGTTGACCCGAATAAAGTAGACTTTCTGAGGGGTATGACTTGGGGGACTGCCAGGAGGAGCTGATGCACTCCAAAAAATCTACCACTGCAGCACGGAGGGGGGGGGGGGAGAAAACCAGTGCTATGAAGTTACACAGGGATTTGAAGAAGGTTTAGTCTACAATCACTTACTTTGCTTTGAGCTTGCGAGATTCTTTCCGCTTCTCCTGCTGCAGCTGTTCAATCTTCTGCTGCATTTCCTCCTGTTTGGCACTGATTTCCTCAATCATGGACTTGGCATCACTGAGCTCATCCTGATTAAAAAGACAAATGATAGCAACATATGTTAAGAACGGTAGATCTTTTCCTGAGGCATCTTGAGCATACAAGTGCATGTGCAGAATTGGGGTGCAATATCCTAACCTTAAGAAATGCAAACAACTATGGATTGATTGATTGATTGATTGATTGAATAATTTACCAAACGGTACAGTGTTATTGTTGCTTTGAAAAAGTGCTTTTATTCTCACTGAGGCTAATGAATGGCCAAACAGAACAGTGTACCTGTGGTACTTAAGTACAAAAAGAGTTGTTTGCATGTATCTGGAGTCCTTTCACCTCATAAAGAGTGAGGGCAAGTTTAAAATTAGAGAGGGCAGCTAGCTTGCAGCTTGTTTCTTCTATTGCCCTGCATGAGACTTGTGCTTTGCCCAGTCTCACGCAGGACAAGTATTTAGGAGTCAAGGTTTATGACAGTGAGGTATAGCACCTTGGTAATAACTAATCTGAAATAACACAAGGGAACAAAATCAGACTAGATTGCTGCAGATGGGAAGGTAGCCCATCAAGGAGATGGAAAACTCTGACCCTAAACCTCCACTGCCTTGTGGGATATCTTCAGGAGAAGAAAAGGCTAAGGAGTAACCAGGGGTCAGCAAACTTTTTCAGCAGGGAGCCGGTCCATTGTCCCTCAGACCTTGTGGGGGGCTGGGCTATATTTTGGAGGGGGAAAATGAATGAATTCCTATGCCCCACAAATAACCCAGACATGCATTTTAAATAAAAGGACACATTCTACTCATGTAAAAACATGCTGATTCCCGGACCGGACCAGATTTAGAAGGCGATTGGGCCAGATCCGGCCCCCGGGCCTTAGTTTGCCTACCCATGGAGTAAACCCTACACAAATCCAGAGTAGAGTCCCTAAAATAGTTGGATGGTGTCTTGCACCCCTCCTTCTGGCAACATCAGCAGCTAAGCTGGTGCCAAGCATATTGCTCTGCTTTCCTTGGGACCACATCAGTGTGGCCGGAGGTGGGGGGGGGTCATCATCTGGGCAGTCCAGGACCTCCATAAACACCACCCAGGCTTGCACCCCCAGACTTGCACTGAAGCTCATTTCGGTGATGTTGACACTGCGGTTTGACTTTACCCCCAAAAGGAACACTCCATTGTCTCTCGAGACGGATGGATGCCAACAAGAACTTAATATGTTCAGAATACATTGGGGAATATGCCTGGCAGTAATTAATTTATTGCAGCCAGTATTTCTGCATTCTACATGTGCTAAATGTCACAAGGCAACTCTCTCTCTCTTCCTCTCTGCTTCAAGCAGGCCTAATTCACTCCCTTGAGAAAGGGGCTGGTTGTCAATGGACATGGCCTACCTTGAAACAATTAAGAGAATTCTTCATCTCTGCCACTTTCTCCTCCATGGCACAGCGGCAGCTTTGGACCTTCTCCTCAAGAGCATACTCTCCATGCTGGATCCTTGATAGTTCCTGCATTGCTTCGGTGAAACCAGTTTTCAGTTCAGAAGCCAGAGCCTGCAACTAAATGAACCAGAATTCATGATCATCGCTAATGCTGCAGAAATGGATTACATAAGAACAAAATAAAACTACTTTATAGAATATATGCCCATCTAACTCCATACTGTCTATATTTACTGACAGCAGCTCTCCAGGGTTTTCAGGACTGAAACGGAGACCTTTTGCAAGCAGACCAGATGCCTTATTACCACTGAGCTTATAGTCCCCCCCCTTTGTTTTTTATAAGAGATGCCAATCTTCCACTTTAACCTCAGATTTAACCTCTCTGCTCCCTACCTGTGTCTCTTTCTCCTGACACTTGAATACCCTTCCACCCTCATTTTACTCACTGGTTTTTATTTATTCTTTATTACATTTCTATCTGCCTTTTCTCCCACAGGAGACCCAGGTGACAAACACAGAAAAGAAATCATTACATGTTTTAAAACTGTGAAAGCATCTTGAAAACAGCTCCAATACAGATGCAGTCTGGAAAAGACCTCTACTTAAAAGGTTTGTTCGACGAGGAAGTCGTCTCTTTCAACAGCCACTGAGAAGTCAGTGGAAAGAGAACAGGGGCATTACGTTCAAGACACACTTGTTCATCTTGCCTCTTCCCAAATTAGCCTCTTTCCCTTCTTCCTGTCCTTTCTTCCATAATGTGCCTTGTCTCTACCTTTAGATGCAATTCTGCATGCAGGACCTGCTTCAGTCTTTAATTTTTGTACGCTGCCTATATGTTTAAATAAACAGCAATATTATTAAATAAGCACTTCCTGACAAGCAATATAATTACGTTTCCCCCTTATTGCTTTTATTTTGTTATTTTATTGGAGGGAATCCTGTTTGCTTTTTAAACATACAAACAGACTATATCTGTTCCTAGACCAATAAATAAACAAAGCATTGACAATGTCCCCCATTGAGGAAGCCCTGATCCTTGAACATTCATAGCACGTTCCTTCCAAACGAATGCCTTAAAGAAACCTGGCTCCATGTTTCCAAGACTATGAGGACCAGAAAGAGAACCACCCCCCCCCCCGGTAATCTGCAAATGCTAATAGAGACCTCCTTAGATCTTAGACCAGGCCTGCACCTCTTGTGACCTACCAAGCCAAACATGGCATACACCTGCTCTTGCATTGTGGGTAGAGAACTTCTTTAGCCTAGGGGGTGGGGTCAGATTCTCATCTAACCCACCCCATGTGGGCCAAGTTTGCTGGGTGGGTGGAGCTGCCCACCTGTCAATCAAATCACATCACAGTGATGTCCAATGACCATTTTTCACCACAGGGATCTTTGGAAGCTAGGGTTGCCACCTTTGGTCGGGGAAATATGGAACAGGTCGGGGAGAGGGGGATATTCTCAGTATTTTTGAGCCCCAGAGGCATTTCCTAAACAGGGAGTTTATCTTTTGGAAGTATGATCCGGATATAAAATCTGGAAGTCCTCTCAGAATATAGATAAATCGGGGAATAATATTCACTTTGAGAGCATTCACCTTTCCCCAAAGGGTAAGGATTAATGACTCCCACTTATCAATGTCTAACTCTCTGCACTCTTAACAAACTACAGTTGCCAGGATTCCTTGCAGGGAAGGCAATGACTGTTTGAAGTGGTATGATACTGCTTTAAATGTAAAATGCAAATGTGGCCTAAGACTTCATGAAAACAAAACCAGAATGTAATATTTATTCCAGATTATTTAACCCCATATTGAAGAAGTGTTAAGTATCAGAGCATCTTGCACTGTTGAAGTGCCTTTTCAATGTCAGATATTTTGGGGAGCTATTAATAGCATTAAGGTTTTAAACCAAGTCTCTGTTTGGCTAGTCTGATGTGTTATGATTTTTTACATAGAGTTATCAAAAGCCTCGCTAATTCCTTAAATGTTTGGGATTATTCAGAGCAAGTTGCTCATTTTTACCTGGGCAAGCTGTGTTGCAGGGTTAATCACTGGCACAGTTTCAGTTTCTCCTGTGGGAATAAAGAGCTTCAGTCAATTAACGGGACTTATTAGGCTTGCTATATATAAAATGGGGGCATAGAGATTTGCAGTCCATTTTAGGTGGAAACCTGTCTCTTTTCTGGAACACAGAGTCCTGCTTTGAAGCTGCCACATTATAATAATTTTGCACAAGCTACCACAATTACAAGCAGAGGAATTTCAGCACCGAATTGTACCAATGGTTCAGTTTCACGTTATAGCTATGGAAAGCTATACATGTGCTATATATGGTTAGTTATGGGTTTAAACTGTGAAAAGCTATGGAATAACTGATTGTGTAGTGTGTTAAGGAGGAGGAGTTTGGATTTGATATCCCGCTTTATCACTACCCGAAGGAGTCTCAAAGCGGCTAACATTCTTCTTTCCCTTCCTGCCCCACAACAAACACTCTGTGAGGTGAGTGGGGCTGAGAGACTTCAAAGAAGTGTGACTAGCCCAAGGTCACCCAGCAGCTGCAGGTGGAGGAGCAGGAAAGCGAACCCGGTTCACCAGATTACGAGACTACCGCTCTTAACCACTACACCACACTGGCTCCTGCTGGACCAGGTGAATGGCCCATCTAGTCTAGCATCCTGTTCTTACAGCGGCCAACCAGATACTTGTGGGAAACCGGCAAGAGTGCCACTGTATTCTGCTCTGGTCAGACCTCACCTGGAGTACTGTGTCCAGTTCTGGGCACCACAGTTCAAGAAGGACACTGACAAACTGGAACGTGTCCAGAGGAGGGCAACCAAAATGGTCAAAGGCCTGGAAACGATGCCTTATGAGGAACGGCTAAGGGAGTTGGGCATGTTTAGCCTGGAGAAGAGGAGGTTAAGGGGTGATATGATAGCCATGTTCAAATATATAAAAGGATGTTACATAGAGGAGGGAGAAAGGTTGTTTTCTGCTGCTCCAGAGAAGCGGACACGGAGCAATGGATCCAAACTACAAGAAAGAAGATTCCACCTAAACATTAGGAAGAACTTCCTGACAGTAAGAGCTGTTTGACAGTGGAATTTGCTGCCAAGGAGTGTGGTGGAGTCTCCTTCTTTGGAGGTCTTTAAGCAGAGGCTTAACAACCATATGTCAGGAGTGCTCTGATGGTGTTTCCTGCTTGGCAGGGGGTTGGACTCGATGGCCCTTGTGGTCTATTCCAACTCTATGATTCTATGATTCTAAGAGGACCTGAGCACAGGAGCCTTCTCCTCCCCTGCGGCTTCCAGAAACAGGTATTCAGAATCAGTGCTAGCATAGCTAGTAGCCATTATGAGCTGTATCCTCCATAAATTTGCCCAATACTCTTTTAAAGCCATCCATGTTGGTGACCATCTACATAACGATGTGCTGCATATCTATTCTGTAAATATATTAACGGCAGTGTTGGCCCAAGACACTGTTGAATGCCTTGCCCCCTTTACTGTGATCCACGCAACGGTCACCTCCAGGCTTGATTATTGTAACTCACTCTACGTGGGGCTGCCCTTGAGACTGACCCAGAAACTCCAGCGGGTTCAGAATGCCGCGGCAAGACTCCTTATGGGGTCCTCGCCGTGGGATCACATTCACCCAGTGCTATACCAGCTGCACTGGCTCCCGGTGGAGTACAGGATCAGGTTTAAGGTGCTGGTTTTAACCTTTAAAGCTCTATAAGGCCTAGGACCCTCGTACCTACGGGACCGCCTCTCCTGGTATGTCCCACGGAGGACCTTATGGTCTTCTAACAAAAACATCTTGGAGGTCCCGGGCCACAAGGAGGTTAGGCTGGCCTCAACCAGAGCCAGGGCTTTTTCGGCCGTGGCCCCGATCTGGTGGAACGCTCTGTCACAAGAGATTAGGGCCCTGCGGGACTTGACATCTTTCCGCAGGGCCTGCACTACAGAGCTGTTCCACCAGGCCTTTGGCCAAGGCACAGTCTGACCCCCTCCTTCTGTAATCCTCATAGAATTCTAGCACAATGGTTGCCATTAATTTGATTTTGAATTGATTTTATAATGAATTGATTTTAGAATGCTGTGTTACTTTTATTGTTGGTAGCCGCTCTGAGCCCGGCTTCAGCTGGGGAGGGCGGGATATAAATTTATTATTATTATTATTATTATTATTATTATTATTATTAATATTATTATTATTATTAGGCCTAACACTCTTTTTTTTACCAAAAACCCCCTGCATGATTGATAGAAGAAAGGCATCATATAAATGTAAGGGAGAAAAGGGGCGGGGGGAATCACCTCCTGCCTTCAACTATAATGTAATAATATTAGAAGTGAGAGATTTCTTTTTGGGATAATCCAGGATCTGTTTTAGCTAGAAGTGGTGCTGGACTTCTAACTGACCAATGTGAATCCCACCACATCAGCCCAGAGAGTACGTGTGGGCATGTGACTCTTCAGTAGTGCCGTTGTTAACGATGGCACCTCCAAAATGGTGGCTCACATATGCAGTGACACCATCCTGGATGAGCTGCCAACATGGCTGATAGGTTCCTCAGTCACAAATTTAGGCTGCAATCCCAAATGCTCTCACACTTTTTGAGTCAACATGCATAGGGCTGCAGTGTTATAATGGAGTTTACTACCCAAAATTTGCCACATTTGGACCATTGGCATGATCCAGCATGGCTGGTCTTCTATTCAAAGGGATCCCCATCCCTTTTTAAAGAAAAGATTGCTTCTATCGGTTGGCTTTCTTGAATCCAGTTTATTATTTTATTTTTGCTCACCTGTGAACACAACTCAGTGCTTCGAGAACCTTAACAAACCCCACTTTACTGAATCCTGGAAATTGTAGTTCTTTTGGGAGGGGGGAGTTCTAAGAGAAGCCCAACTATCCTCACTAACTTACAGTTCCCAAAATTATCGCAGAGAAGCCATGACAATAAAGTACACGTAAAATGAAATCTAGATCTGGCTGTGTGTAATTATCCGCCTTCGGGAAAGGTGTGTAGGTATATTGGTGGGGTGGGGTAGGGGTTATTATTGAATTTGCCTTAACTGTGCAAGAAATCTGGTTGCCTTTTACTTAGGACACTGAGGCCCTGAGGTGATACAGGCCTGCCTTTCATTATCTTAAACCTCAGAGGGCCTGGGTTTCCTTAGGAAAGCAGGACACCTCTGTAACTCTTTGCTTACATGCTGATGCCGCCTTTCAGTCAGAGATGAAGTAATTTCTGAGAGAGAGGCAGAAGTAGGAGACAGAAAACAACAGTTTATCTTTCTACTCCTCTTCCACAGCTGCTATTTAATAAATAAAGGGGGGGGGGCAAGCATGCCGTATCACATTTAGTTTGACCCTGACTAAATGAGAAGTAAGACACACAAGCCACTGGTCTACCATAATAGCACAAGAAAGGCAGCATGAATTAAACACCTGAAAAATTAAATCCTTCACTGCTGATCATCTTTAAACACCTGCCCACGCCAAGGGAACACACAACACAGATGACAGGGCTGGGTACCAGTTTTGTCTAACTCTTCCTGTGACACCAAATGAGCACTTTTACTCCTTGGAGGGCATCAGTTAATTCAAAGCATCCTGAAATTAATTTCCACTACAGCTAGTACTAGGGAATGGGGCTTGCAGGATGCACAGTTATAATCTTATATAACCGCTAAAAAAATAAGCACCTCCTGTTCGTGCCTCCCAACCGTTTCCTGTGAAGCAGTGCCATTTAATTCTAGAAATAATGCTCCTTTCTCTCAAAGAGAAATTAGACCCTGCCATGCTCAGAGCTATACCATGTGGTTAGCGTTCCATTTGAAAAGTCCAGTGAGGTAAGACCAACAGCTGCGACTGTTCATTGGGTTTATTTTGACATTTCCATGCATAGCACTACAAAGAGCACACAGGCCTGTTTGTAGCACATGTGAATATTGTCATATAAAATGTACATATCCAGCCAACAGAAGCATGACAATGCAAATGATTTTCCTGCCTCTTCTAACTGTTTTGGGAATCGCCACAAATTTAACTTACTGGGGTTGGAGGGGAGACTCCAGTGTCAAGCGTAGTTGTTTTCTTCAAAATTAGGCCATTAGTGCTCAGAGTCAAATTAGGTGCACCCATTTGTGCAATGAAAAGTTACAGCCCCTCCAGATGTCCTTTTGTTGTCTGGGCTCACAGACAGCTATATCTGACCACACAGTCAATATAT